CCCTTTTTTTTACCCAATTTCCCCTCTCAAATTTTTTAATTTTTTTTTTAATCCCCCAAAAACCAAACATAAAAAAACTGTTCAATTCCCATTTTGAATTTGATTCCCCAAAATTTAATCCCACCCCTCTCCCGAACACCCTAGCATTTACTTCCTTTACAACCCCATCTATAAATATATTAAACAACCATGGTGACATTAACACTCCCTGTCTAAGACCTACTTTTACCGGAAGTAGTCTCCCTCTCTTCTACACACCTTAACCTAGCCTCACTATCCTCATAAAAACTCTTACAGCATTTAGTAACTTACCACCTATTCCATATACAGTGGACCCCCGGTTAACGAACTTTTTTCATTCCAGTAGTATGTTCAGGTGCCAGTACTGACCGAATTTTTTCCCATAAGGAATATTGTGAAGTAGATTAGTCCATTTCAGACCCCCAAACATACACGTACAAACGCACTTACATAAATACACTTACATAATTGGTCGCATTTGGAGGTGATCGTTAAGCGGGGGTCCACTGTACTTGCAACATCTGCCACATTGCTCCTCTATCCACTCTATCATATGCCTTTTCTAAATCCATAAATGCAATAAAAACTTCCCTACCTTTATCTAAATACTGTTCACATATATGCTTCAATGTAAACACTTGATCTACACATCCCCTACCCACTCTGAAGCCTCCTTGCTCATCTGCAATCCTACATTATACAATATATAAATACAGGTATTTTTTTTCCTGAGTACTGTTACATACATGATGAACCCCTTTCCATAATGTTAAGGGTTGGGCTGTAGAAGTTTGTGTTCCTTTTGCATCTAAGTATTAAGGAATTATGGCACTGAATTAATTTCAAAGAATTGTTTATCCAGTCCAAATACAATTTTATAGGCCTATATAAATATGTTATTTTCAGTAAAATTGGTCTATAAGTGTAATTGTTTATAAGAAGAGAAACATGCCTCAATATTTTTTTCAGAGCCTAGTATTCATTTTGCGCTCATTTCTTTTGGTCATATTTTTTGATCACTGATGAGTGGAACTTCTCTTTAAATTTTGTATTTTACTTGGGAGTTGGGAGAGTGTTACCCTGTGTTTATCCTCTCAGGGAGAAGGCTCGTGAAAGAGAGCGCGACCGGGAAAGGGAACGACCAGATAAAAGGAAACGATCTCCTGAAGCTAAGCCCAAGGATGAACTTTCAAAGGCAGAGGTATGTGAACTTACTAAGTTACATTTAAAGGGGATCAGGTCCCAACTACTGATGTGACATCTGGACCTACAATTGATCAGCATTATAGGTTCCTGGGTACTTGGACCTTATCATGCATACTCTAAGAATTGTGTGTCCATTCGGCATCACAATCAGTTTACTCCCTGACTGCATCTCTCAGCCCTTCTTCAGAGTGCAGGCACTTCAGAGCATAGCCCCATTTCATTACAAATCAATAAACCCAGCTCTAACTCAGAGTTATTTGACCTACATTTAAAAACATCACAAAGTGCACATTATTTTATTTTATTTTCAAACAGCATTTATACTATTTTTGTTAACAGTAATTGGTCTTACATTCCTGAGATATTGCTTTATAAAATCACTGTTGCATTGCAAATGTTGAGAGGTGATTGTTTTGTGCAATGCGTTTTAATCTGTAATATTTGTATGCAGATAGAGGAAGAGGAAAGACGTGAAAAGGAGAAGAAGTTTAAGAAAGAACCTTTGTCCTTGGAAGAAATGGTAGCAAGGAAGAGAGCAGAAGAGGAAGCTCTGAGTCGGCCAAAGTTTTTGACCAAGGCAGAAAGGCAAGCAGAAGCCCTCAGGCGGCGACAAGAAGAGGTGATTCTAATGTAGTGTTGTTTCTTTTTTATGTAATAAAGAAGAGGGATCTTTGTATTCACTCATTGACACTTTTATGTAAATAATAAAGCACAGTATGAGTTATGCTGTTTTATTTGTGAAGACATTTTGTCTACCAGGGATTTTATTAGTTCACTCAGTTACTGAATTGATAAAAGTCCCTGGTGGATGAAACTTCATCACAAATAAAATGCTATAACCCTCATTGTGTGTTATTGTCATACTGTCTATTTACTCTTCCATTGTATTATGGTACTATATTGACACTGTATACCAGTGAAACTAGTTGCTATCTTAGGTTTGTGCTTTGCAAACAATCTAATTCTTGTTTAACTCATGCCCACTAACATACCCGTCTTACACATTCACCTGCCTCACACAGTAACATGTACCTATTACAGTGATCTTATTCTCCCTTTAATGTTAATGTAAGTAACTCAGTTTACCTTATTCCTAGTATATCTCCTTTTGTTGTAACTGCTTTTCACATAGTTGAGTTACTTAGCTGTTTTAACTTTTAAGGTTTAAGTACTTTTAAGGTTTAGTACAATCACCTCAGTGGAAAAAAGTAACTTTGTCTGACTTTTTTTTTTTGGGTTATCCTAGGTAATCTACACATGCCTTTTTTCTTTTCCTTTCTTTTTTTTCCATCAAACTGGCCATATCTCACCAAGGCAAGGTGATCCAAAAAGAAAAATGAAAGTTTCTCTTTTTAACTCTAGTAATGTATACAGGCAAAGGGGTTACTAGCCCCTTGCTCCTGTCATTTTAGTCGCCTCTTACGACGCGCATGGCTTACGGAGGAAGAATTCTGTTCCACTTCCCCATGGAGATAAGAGGAAATAAACAAGAACTAGTAAGAAAATAGAAGAAAAGCCAGAGGGGTATGTCTATATACGTATATGCTTGCACGTGCATGTGTAGTGTGACCTAAGTGTAAGTAGAAGTAGCAAGACGTACCTGAAATCTTGCATGATTTTTTTTTTTTTTTTAACAAGTTGGCCGTCTCCCACCTAGGCAGGGTGACCAAAAAATAAAAGAAAATCCCCAAAAAGAAAACACTTTCATCATCATTCATCACTTTCACCTCACTCACACATAATCACTGTTTTTGCAGAGGTGCTCAGAACACAACAGTTTAGAAGCATATACGTATAAAGACACAACATATCCCTCCAAACTGCTAATATCCCGAAACCCCTCATTTATAGTGCAGGCATTGTACTTTCCATTTCCAGGATTCAAGTTCGGCTATATAAAAATAACATGTTTAACATGTTTGCATGTTTATGAGACAGAAAAAAGACACCAGGAATCCTACCATCATGTAAAACAATTACAAGCTTTCGTTTTTACACTCACTTGGCAGGACGGCAGTACCTCCCTGGGTGGTTGCTGTCTACCAACCTACTACGTAGAACATATGCTGTTATGCACAATAACTGAATTTATGTGTGCCTATAACTGAATAAACTTATTTACGTACTCCATATGTACTACAAAATGTGTGTAAATCTTTGTATATGAATTCTTTATAAGATTGTAGGTTTTATTCCAATAATCCATTTACTTATGACATCAAGATTATTAAAGAACTTTACCTTTGCATGAAGTTGTTATACAATATGTGTTTCTGTTCTTTACAGATTGATGAGGTACGTAAGAGGCAAGATGAGGAGAGGAAGGCACGAGATGCAATGTACCAGGATGGTCGGAGGGAACTCGAGCAGGCCTTACGGCAGGAAGATCCTCGAGAGCGGGACCGCCACCGTCGAGACCGGGAACCAAGAGAGAATAAAGAGGACATTGAGTTAGAGAGAAAAAAGCAGCTTGAACGAGATGCTGTTAATGAGAGGTATTTAGGGATTGTGAAGAAGAAGAAAAAGATTCGCAGGCTGAATGACCGTAAATTTGTATTTGACTGGGATGCTGGTGAGGACACTTCTGTGGACTACAATGAGCTCTACATCAATAAGCATCTGGTTCATTTCTTTGGTCGTGGGCATTTTGGTGGACTAGACTTAAAAGAGCAAAAGAAGATTCAATCTAAGTTCTATGGAAACTACATTGAACATCGCCGTACACAGGCTGACAAAGACCAAGAGATAATCCGCATGAAGAAGGAGCAGAAAAAAGAAGATAAGAAAAAGTGGGATGATCGACACTGGAGTGAAAAGAATGTGGAGCAGATGACAGAACGAGATTGGCGAATTTTCAGGGAAGATTACAACATTGCAATTAAGGGAGGTCGAATTCCCAATCCAATTCGGACATGGGCAGAATCTAATATTAAGAAAGATATTCTGGATATTATTGCCAGCGTTGGATACCAGGACCCAACTCCAATTCAGAGACAGGCTATCCCCATTGGTCTACAAAATCGAGACATTATTGGTGTTGCAGAGACTGGCTCTGGTAAGACTTTAGCCTTTCTTATTCCTCTTTTGGAATGGATTCAGTCTCTTCCCAAAATTGCTCGGTTAGAGGATGCAGATCAAGGACCGTATGCATTAGTCATGGCTCCAACTCGAGAGCTTGCACAACAGATTGAAGAAGAAACAACCAAGTTCGGAGGACCTCTTGGCATCCGCACTGTAGCAGTCATTGGTGGCTTGTCACGTGAAGAACAGGGTATGAAGTTACGAATGGGCTGTGAAATTGTAATTGCCACCCCTGGACGTCTTGTAGATGTGCTTGAAAACAGATACCTCGTACTGAACCAGTGCACGTATGTTGTCTTTGATGAGGCTGATAAAATGATTGACATGGGTTTTGAGCCAGATGTTCAAAAAATCTTGAAATTTATGCCAGTGACAAATGAAAAACCAGATAATGAGGATGCTGAAGATGAGGACAAGTTGTTGCAAAATTTCCTCTCTAAACATAAGTATAGGCAAACAGTCATGTTTACAGCTACTATGCCACCTGCTGTAGAAAGGATGGCCAGACAGTACCTTCGTCGACCTGCTTATGTGTACATTGGTTCTATAGGAAAACCAGTGGAGCGCGTTGAACAGGTTGTGTACATGGTAAGTGAACAAGAAAAACGTAAGAAGTTGCTAGATATTTTGAAGCGTGGTATCACACCTCCAGTCCTTATTTTTGTCAATCAAAAGAAGGGTGCAGATGTGTTGGCACGTGGTTTAGAGAAACTGGGTCACAATGCCACAACTCTCCATGGTGGCAAAGGCCAAGAACAGCGTGAGCATGCTCTTGCAAATCTCAAATCTGGAGCAAAAGATATCCTCGTGGCCACAGATGTTGCTGGTCGTGGTATTGATATCAAGGATGTCTCCCTTGTTATTAATTATGACATGGCAAAGAATATTGAAGATTACACCCACAGAATCGGTCGTACAGGTCGTGCAGGAAAGCACGGCAAAGCCATATCTTTCTTAACCAAAGATGACTCTCATTTGTTCTATGACTTGAAGCAGCTGATCTTATCCTCGCCGGTGTCATCCTGTCCACCAGAGCTCGCTAACCACCATGAAGCCCAGCACAAGCCTGGCACAGTTATGACAAAGAAGCGAAGGGAAGAAAAAATATTTGCTTAAGCCAAGGCCTGTAGGCAATTGGCTCTGATGTCAGTTGTGTAAATAGTAATGATGATAATGGATATGCAACTGGTGTTACTGCTAAGTTGTAAAACACTTCAATGAATAGATGGCATACGAGTTGTGTAAGCGCATGAAATATTTCTGTATGTGGTCTTCATAAGCCATCCTTGATAATGTATGCATATTGCTATTAATGTTGAATGCAGTACATTTATTTATTGTATGAGTAAATGGAAATGCAGGGGGAAGGTGCTGGTACCTGACATTATGTAAGGTTATTGCAAAGCATTTAACCCCATTTTTACTTGCATTCTCTGCAAACAAAACCATCTTAAGTTTTCACATTTCTTGTACAAGGAATGTGTGATTTAAATTTTTTTTTTTAAAAATTTGAAGAAAATTTTTTAATACCTTTTCCCTTTCCAACACGTTATATGTAATCATATTATTTTTTGTTTTCCACTCGCCCAAGTATGTGCAAGATGGCATTAGTAAATATTGTAAATTATGAATGATTTATTTCCCTAAAGCTGTATAGCCCTTGTGGCTTAGCACTTCGTTTTGATTTTTTTTTTTTTTTTTTTTTTCAACAAGTCGGCCGTCTCCCACCGAGGCAGGGTGACCCAAAAAAGAAAGAAAATCCCCAAAAAGAAAATACTTTCATCATCATTCAACACTTTCACCACACTCGCACATTATCACTGTTTTTGCAGAGGTGCTCAGAATACAACAGTCTAGAAGCATACACATATAAAGATACACAACATATCCCTCCAAACTGCCAATATCCCAAACCCCTCCTTTAAAGTGCAGGCATTGTACTTCCCATTTCCAGGACTCAAGTCCGACTATATGAAAATAACCGGTTTCCCTGAATCCCTTCACTAAATATTACCCTGCTCACACTCCAACAGATCGTCAGGTCCCAAGTACCATTCGTCTCCATTCACTCCTAACACGCTCACGCACGCTTGCTGGAAGTCCAAGCCCCTTACCCACAAAACCTCCTTTACCCCCCTCTCTCCAACCCTTTCGAGGACGACCCCTACCCCGCCTTCCTTTCCCTATAGATTTATATGCTTTCCATGTCATTCTACTTTGATCCATTCTCTCTAAATGACCAAACCACCTCAAAACCCCTCTTCTGCCCTCTGACTAATACTTTTATTAACTCCACACCCTCTCTCCTAATTTCCACACTCCGAATTTCTGCTATATTTACACCACACATTGCCTTAAACAGGACATCTCCACTGCCTTCCAACCGTCTTCCTCGCTGCTGCATTTACCACCCAAGCTTCACACCCATATAAGAGTGTTGGTACTACTATACTTTCATACATTCCCTTCTTTGCCCTCCATAGATAACGTTTTTTGACTCCACATATACCTCAATGCACCACTCACCTTTTTTCCCTCATCAATTCTATGATTAACCTCATCCTTCATAAATCCATCCGCCGACACGTCAACTCCCAAGTATCTGAAAACATTCACTTCTTCCATACTCCTCCTCCCCAATTGATATCCAATTTTCTTTATCTAAATCATTTGACACCCCTCATTACCTTACTCTTTTCTATGTTCACTTTCAACTTTCTACCTTTAACACATTCCCAAACTCATCCACTAACCTTTGCAATTTTTCTTTAGAATCTCCCATAAGCACAGTATCATCAGCAAAAAGTAACTGTGTCAATTCCCATTTTGAATTTCATTCCCATAATTTAATCCCACCCCTCTCCCAAACACCCTAGCATTTACTTCCTTAACAACCCCATCTATAAAAATAATAAACAACCATGGTGACATTACACATCCTGTCTAAGACCTACTTTTACCGGGAAATAGTCTCCCTCTCTTCTACACACCCTAACCTGAGCCTCACTATCTTCATAAAAAAACTCTTTACAGCATTTAATAACTTACCACCTATTCCATATACTTGCAACATCTGCCACATTGCTCCTCTATCCACTCTATCATATGCCTTTTCTAAATCCATAAATGCAATAAAAACTTCCCTACCTTTATCTAAATACTGTTCACAATATGCTCAATGTAAACACTTGATCTACACATTCCCTACCCACTCTGAAACCCCTTGCTCATCCGCAATCCTACATTCTGTCTTACCTCTAATTCTTTCAATTATAACCCTACCGTACACTTTTCCTGGTATACTCAGTAAGCTTATTCCTCTATAATTTTTACAGTCTCTTTTGTCCCCTTTCCCTTATATAAAGGGACTATACATGCCTCTCGCCAATCCCTAGGTACCTTCCCCTCTTTCATACATTTATTGAACAAAAGTACCAACCACTCCAACACTATATCCCCCCCTGCTTTTAACATTTCTGTCATGATCCCATCAGTACCAGCTGCTTTACCCCCTTTCATTTTACGTAATGCCTCACGTACCTCCCCCACACTTACATTCTGCTCTTCTTCACTCCTAAAAGATGGTATACCTCCCTGACCAGTGCATGAAATTACTGCCTCTGTTTCTTCCTTAACATTTAAAAGTTCCTCAAAATATTCTCGCCATCTACCTAATACCTCCATCTCCCCATCTACTAACTCCCCTACTCTGTTTTTAACTGACAAATCCATATTTTTCCCTTGGCTTTCTTAACTTGTTTAACTCACTCCAAAATTTTTTCTTATTTTCATTAAAATTTCTTGACAGTGCCTCTCCCACTCTATCATCTGCTCTCCTTTTGCACTCTCTCACCACTCTCTTTACCTTTCTTTTACTCTCCATATATTCTGCTCTTCTTATAACACTTCTGCTTTGTAAAAACCTCTCATAAGCTCTCATAAGTTTTGATTATAATAATAATAATATTTCCCTAAAATATATTGACTTGTGCCAGGAGTTTTTAAACTTAAATTCTCCGTATTATATGATCCCCTCCAAGGGCCTCCTTATTATTTCAACAGAAAGCTGTAGTGCTTGAAAAATACAGTAAACCCTTTATAAACTGGACCTCTATAAAGTGAATATCAGTTAAAACAGATAAAATAATTGGTCAAAGGCTTAACTTAGTCTGTTGAATGGGGTGTCCTATAAAATTGGCATGAAGCAAACCAGATCCACTATATCACATGGCTGTCTGATCTGGTCATACCCTCAATAACTGTATGACTGTTGTGAGTGTAGCACTTAATTCTGATTGTAATAACAATAATACCCTTGATAAAATGGATCAACTTCACTTGACTACAAGTTTGTCTGTTATGAGTTTCATTCCTAGGCAGTGGGGCCAGTGACTCGGCCTGCCTCAGATTATCGTGTGTGTGTGCTCACATATTTCATCTCCAATTTTCCTTGGATTTACAGCCTTTTTCCATTACAGTACTTTATAAAAGTACCTTGTACGGTGTTATTAACACTGTGATAATACGAAGAACCCCTTCTCCTGTATATATTACTAAATTTGAAGGAGAAACTTTTGTTTTTCCTTTTGGGCCACCCAACCTCGGTAGGATACAACCGTTGTGTTGAAAGAAGAAAAATAATACTAAGAAGCATGTGATAACTATTAAGTAGAAATTTGAATTAAGGTCATGTATATACCAGAAATCTGTATGACCCTGGTGGGTTTAGCACTTTGTTTTTATTATAATAATATCTACAAGAAAAGGTACTCAGTTTTTACTATATTCAGTAGTCCATCAGTACAGTAGACTGTCCTCTACATTATGCATTTGTCTGTGTCTGGTAGTCGATCAATTAGGCAGACAACTTCCACTTAATCAAAACTTTCAGTATGATGGAGTTTTGCTAAAACAGATACCCATCCCTCCATCCTATTAGTCTGTTTTATGGAGGTTTCTGCAGTGCTGTATGACCCTTGTGGGTTTAGCACTTAGTTCTGATTGTGGTAATAATATGGACGTTTCACTGTATCAGAGCTGTATGACCCTTGTAGGTTTAGCACTTCTTTATTATTATAATAATCACTGTATCAAAACGAAGTGATGAGCATCATCCTAGGATGCCCATGTATGACTAAAATACTAAATACTGTATTTGGAGAACTTGATATTCTAAGTACTGTGATCCTTTAAGTTATGATATTAATCCATCCCAGAAAACATCATATTTGCAAAATGTTGTACCTCAAACCCCAAGCTACATGGTTTTACAGTAGTAATTCGTTCAGAGATGCTTGAACACCCAATCTGCCCTTGGATACTTTTTATTGTTTAAACACACTTGGGTTTCCTGAGTGATAAGCATAGGCTGCAGCTTTAAATATTCAGAGGCATTGGCACCCAGACAGGTAGGGAGGGAGGCAGGCAGACCACAGCAGGTAGGGTAAGGAACAGCAAGTTTGCAGGCAGGCAGGTAAATTAGTAAAGAATTGTAAACTTAATTATTACACTCTTGTCCCCCACTCATCTCACACACTGAGGTATGGGGGTCGATCCCCGGTACGATGGAAACTTTAGGATGTTTCCTTTAAACACCTGCTGTCCATGTTCACCTAGCAGTAAAACAAATAACTGGGTGTAGTCGACTGGTGTGGGTCACATCCTAGGAGAAAGCTGACCTACCTAATTTGCCAGAAAAGCTCTACATAAAAAGAGGCTTTCTATATAGTAGTATGTCATTAATGTCAGCTAGGCCTGTATACCTTGTACATTACTTGTAGAGATAAAGATTATTATTATTATTAATAAATTAATTATCATTGTTCAAGAATGTATATAGTTATTATTACTATAATTATGGGTGTGAAGCTTGGGTTGTAAATGCTGCGGCGAGGAGGTGGTTGGAGGCAGTGGAGATGTCCTGTCTAAGGGCAATGTGGTGTAAATATTATGCAGAAAATTCGGAGTGTGGAAATTAAAAGAAGGTGTGGAGTTAATAAAAGTATTTGAGGGCTGAAGAGGGGTTGTTGAGGTGGTTTGATCATTTAGAGAGAATGGATCAAGGTAGAATGACATGGAGAGCATATACATCTGTAGGGAAAGGAAGGCAGGGTAGGGGTCATCCTCGAAAAGGTTGGAAGGAAGGGGTAAAGGAGGTTTTGTGGGCGAGGAGCTTGGACTATCAGCAAGCCTGTGTGAGCGTGTTCGATAGGAGTGAATGGAGACAAATGGTATTTGGGACCTGACAAGTTGTTAGAGTGTGAGCAGGGTAATATTTAGTGAAGGGATTCAGGGAAACCAGTTATTTTTATATAGCCGGACTTGAGTCCTGGAAATGGGAAGTACAATGCCTACACTCTAAAGGAGGGGTTCGGGATATTGGCGGTTTGGAGGGATATGTTGTGTATCTTTATACGTATATGCTTCTAAACTGTTGTATTCTGGGCACCTTTGCAAAAACAGTGATTATGTGTGAGTGAGGTGAAAGTGTTGAATGATGAAAGTATTTTCTTTTTGGGGATTTTCTTTCTTTTTGGGTCACCCTACCTCGGTGGGAGACGGCCGACTTGTTAAAAAAAAATTATGAGTCATGTTAAAGTCTATGTGCCACCAACAACACTCTAGGAGAACATAAATTTAAGGCGATTTGCCAACTCTAGTGAGTGAACCTGGGACCTTCCTTGTCACTGAGTTATGGCTCATCCCTGCCTTGGAAACCAGATGGGGACCTCCATGCTCTAATTCCCACATTCCCATGCTCCCATATCATGCCCCTATACCCCTTGCTCCCATATGCCCTATGCCCCAACATCCGTGTCCTCCCCAGCCTGTGTAACAGCTCATCTCTCATCCCCAGCTCGTGTACATAGTAAGCTGATAAACACTTTCTCCTCTGTACACCCTAATTTACCCTCCGCTGATATATTCTTATCCAAGGGAAGGAAGTGAGAGAGAGAGAGAGATATTAGTATAAAGTCAGGCAAGTGCCCTATTGGAAATCGGAAACATTGACTTTAATGGCTGAGTGGATGACAAAATAATAATACAGAACATTATATAGTAACTTTAATCAACGATTACCCAATCAAGACAAACAATGTGACTTATTATCCTAAATAAAAACTTGAACATGAGCAGGTATCTGTGGTAATAGCGAAGTTTACCTACCTCACTCAGAGATAAAAATAGTCTTAATCTCACTTTTGACATATCTGATCACCACACTACACTTTTTATGATTAAAATATATTTTTTATTACCTTTAAACAATTCTTGGTAGAGTGAGTAATTGTGGTCGTGGGGAAAGGGTGGTAGCGGTATAACTGGTGATGGTACTGGTGTACGTGGTGGTACAACTGGTGATGGTACGGGTGTACGTGGTGGTACAACTGGTGATGGTACTGGCGTACGTGGTGGTACAACTGGTGATGGTACTGGTGTACGTGGTGGTACAACTGATGATGCCACTGGTGTACGTGGTGGTATAACTGGTGATGGTATTGGTGTACGTGGTGGTATGAACATTAAAATGGTATAAAATACCGACAGGTTGTTAGGTAAGACACATATGCAACAGTTAGGTATCTTTACCTCGAAACGCCTCGCCCACACAGCAGGCCTCTTCAGTCGAGTACAGAAAAGTTGATAGAAGCAGAAGAGACTTGAAGACGATGTAATCAGTCCATCACCCTTAAAGTTTTGAGGTGGTCAGTCCCTCAGTCTGGAGAAGAGCATTGTTTCGTATTGTTTCAGACTACGGAACAATGCTCTTCTCCAGACTGAGGGACTGACCACCTCAAAACTTTAAGGGTGATGGACTGATTACATCGTCTTCAAGTCTCTTCTGCTTCTATCAACTTTTCTGTACTCGACTGAAGAGGCCTGCTGTGTGGGCGAGGCGTTTCGAGGTAAAGATACCTAACTGTTGCATATGTGTCTTACCTAACAACGTGGTGGTATAACTAGTGATGGTACTGGTGCACGTGGTGGTACAACTGGTGATGGTACTGGTGTACGTGGTGGTGGTGGTATAGCTGGTGATGGTACTGGTGTACGTGGTGGTACAACTGGTGATGGTACTGGTGTACGTGGTGGTGGTGGTATAGCTGGTGATGATACTGGTGTACGTGGTGGTATAACTGGTGATGGTACTGGTATACGTGGTGGTATAACTGGTGATGGTACTGGTGTAAGTGGTGGTATAACTGGTGATGGTACTGGTGTAAGTGGTGGTATAACTGGTGATGGTACTGGTATACGTGGTGGTATAATTGGTGATGGTACTGGTATACGTGGTGGTATAACTGGTGATGGTACTGGTATACGTGGTGGTATAATTGGTGATGGTACTGGTATACGTGGTGGTATAATTGGTGATGGTACTGGTATACGTGGTGGATAACTGGTGATGGTACTGGTATACGTGGTGGTATAATTGGTGATGGTACTGGTATACGTGGTGGTATAATTGGTGATGGTACTGGTATACGTGGTGGTATAACTGGTGATGGTACTGGTATACGTGGTGGTATAACTGGTGATGGTACTGGTGTAAGTGGTGGTATAACTGGTGATGGTGCTGGTGTAAATGGTGGTATAACTGGTGATGGTACTGGTGTAAATGGTATAACTGGTGATGGTACTGGTGTAAATGGTGGTATAACTGTGATGGTACTGGTGTAAGTGCTGGTGTAACTGTAATGGTACTGGTGTAAGTGGTAGTGGTGGTTTAACTGGTGATGGTACTGGTGTAAGTGGTAGTGGTGGTATAACTGGTGATGGCACTGGTGTAAGTGCTGGTATAACTGTGATGGTACTGGTGTAAGTGGTAGTGGTATAACTGGTGATGGCACTGGTGTAAGTGGTGGTATAACTGTAATGGTACTGGTGTAAGTGGTAGTGGTGGTATAACTGGTGATGGTACTGGTGTAAGTGGTGGTATAACTGTGATGGTTCTGGTGTAAGTGGTAGTAGTGGTATAACTGGTGATGGTACTGGTGTAAGTGGTGGTATAACTGTGATGGTTCTGGTGTAAGTGGTGGTATAACTGTGATGGTTCTGGTGTAAGTGGTGGTATAACTGTGATGGTACTGGTGTAAGTGGTGGTATAACTGTGATGGTTCTGGTGTAAGTGGTAGTAGTGGTATAACTGGTGATGGTACTGGTGTAAGTGGTGGTATAACTATGACTACTGGTGTAAGTGGTAGTAGTGGTGTACATGGTAGTAACATCAACTAGGTGTGATGGTGGTGGTATAAGACGATGGTGTTGGTGATGGTAGTATTCTGTATTCACCTATCTGTACTGGCAGATGTCGAGTCTCAGCTCCTGGACCCGCCAATCCGCTGGTGGCTACTGGGTTCACTCCTGGCTGCGTGAATCCTTTCATACCTGTTCTTAAATCTGTGTATGAAGCCTACCTCTACCACTTCACTGTCTAGGTAGTACCACTTCTTGGCCTCTCTAGGGGTAAAGAAGTATTTCCTAACATCTCCCTGACCTCCTCAGCTATTGGACTAGTCTCGTTATAATTACACATTTACATTTTCCGGGTTCTTGACATGCATTATCATATGTGGGTTCCATACTGGCTCTGCATACTCCAAGATGGGCCTGAGAGATGCCCTGCAGTGGACTGAGAATGATTTCTTGTTAAAGTTCCTGAAAGCTTCCTTTAAATTTGACAATCTTGCATTGCTACGAGACTGGCAAATTCAGATGATTTATGCCTCAGGAGAAATGCTTAGAACTATGCTTACCCAAGATCCACTGTCAGGGAGGTTTGCAGCCTTTTTCCCCATTAGCCTGTACTTTGCTTCTGGTCTTCTTCGATCATCCCGATTTTCATAACTATGCAGCTGCTGGGGTTAAACTCTTAACAGCCATCAAACCAATTCTGTATGACAAAAACTGTGTGGGACCCAGAGTTAGCTATGTTTGCCTTGTGTTACTGCATCACACAAGATGTGTTTTATAGTGTTGAACTGGTGACTACCAGATGGAGGGGGGAAGAATGGAGGGAGAGGAGGGGGGAGGAATGGAGGGAGAGGAGGGGGGAGGAATGGAGGGAGAGGAGGGGGGAGGAATGGAGGGAGAGAGGGGGGGATAAAGAGGGAGGGAATGAGTGAGGGAGGACGAGGAACAGTCAGGTGATAAGTGTTGTGCTGGGTGGATGTAAGCTACACTTCTCCACACCTCTAAAGATATCACAGGTAAAAAAATCAAAACAAATACACAAAATGTTTCATAAGACAATAATTATGCAGTAGAACTGAGGAAAAACTGACGTGAACCAGTGTAGTGTAGTGGATGGATATACATCCAAGTGTGGGCGTTTGTGGGCAACGTGACGAGACTATAATATTATTATTACAACCCAGATTCTTACTCCAGCTAACATAATTCATTATGAGGAATCAACAACAGATTAAATGAACAGGAAGGAGAATTTCACCAGTAGCATCATAATGGACAAATGAGATGGTTCAAGGAATTACCTTTAGGAAGCTCACCTTGACTTGTTAAGGCTGGTTGGTGGTGCTTGGCCAAACACCAGAATTTATCATAAAATGATCCTTGGAGTTACGGAATTAGTTACCCTCCCCTGCCTTAATTCAAACATTTTTTTACCTCCCATTTCCTTGTATGACCTGTTAGCACTTAACTGTAAATTTTAGGTAATTGTAAAAATCCGGGTCTTTTATACGAATGCAAATATTTATTTCAGAATTAATATATAAAACGTTTAATAATCTGAAGACCCATTGGATGCATAAACATTTCGAGCAAAAAAAAAAATTTAGCCTATACTGTACTTCAGTTTATTTAGGTACAGGATCTGTGAATCGACCATTGCAGTCACACACATGTCAGTACAATTATCATACATACTAACGTGTAAATTACCCACCAGGATAACCTCTCCCCCCCCCCCCCCCGAAAAAAAAAAGTTAGACGAAGTGACATTTCCACTGGATCCTTGCATTACCTCTGTAACTTGCTCAGCTATCAAAACTTTGGAGTCCAGTCCCTGGACCAATTATGTACCTCTGTAATCTTTTGACTACCGCCCACAGGATGGGTATGGGGTGCATAATAAACATATTAAACTAACTAACTCCTTGCAATCTCGCTTGAGGGTCTAATATTAACATGGTGAGTTTTACGATAATTATTCCTGAAAATGTTTAATATCAGGTTAATTTTGTCATGGACATCGTGTAAGAATCATAACCTATCAAATCCCACCCTCATCTAACCTCAAGTATAACGTAACCTAACGTAATTTAACCTCACTCCACCTGCAGTAGATATGGAACTGTCACGCCTTTGTTTAAATGTAATTCTTCTTTATTTATTACGTTCGTTGATTGACCAGGAGTGTCAGTAATAACCAATTATTTTTTCTACTATTTCCCAAAATAAATTCCACAAGAAATAATTAATGCCGAGGTGTAGATAGCATGTTTGTATTTTATAAAATAATAAGCAGTTTATCAAAAGAATTGGATCTCTATATCAGTCATTTTTTATAATTTTAAATAACAGGTTTTTAAGCTCGGAGATACAATGATGGGTGGAGAGTTTCTCCATTAACATAATGCGAACGGGAAAGTAATGACTATTTGTTAATGGTATATAAAACCGAGTAGATGAACAAGTCATGTGCAACATTTGGGTATTTGTATTGTGGAGACATTTGGCCAGCTAGTGGCTTCACATTAATCCAATAGAAAATAATACTGCAGACAGAGGAGATGAAATAGTTTGAGGTGATCAGTCCCTCAGCCTTATGTGATATTCAGTCCCTCAGCCTTGTATGGTGTTCAGTCTCTCAGCCTTGTGTGGTATTCAGTCCCTCAACATTGTGTGGTATTCAGTCCCTCAGCCTTGTGTGGTATTCAGTCCCTCAACATTGTGTGGTATTCAGTCCCTCAGCCTTGTGTGGTATTCAGTCCCTCAGCCTTGTGTGGTATTCAGTCTCTCAGCCTTGTGTGGTATTCAGTCCCTCAGCCTTGTGTGGTATTCAGTCTCTCAGCCTTGTATGGTATTCAGTCCCTCAGCCTTGTGTGGTATTCAGACCCTCAGCCTTGTGTGGTATTCAGTCCCTCAGCCTTGTGTGGTATTCAGTCCCTCAGCCTTGTGTGGTATTCAGTCCCTCAGCCTTGTGTGGTATTCAGTCCCTCAACATTGTGTGGTATTCAGTCCCTCAACATTGTGTGGTATTCAGTCCCTCAACATTGTGTGGTATTCAGTCCCTCAACATTGTGTGGTATTCAGTCCCTCAGCCTTGTGTGGTATTCAGTCCCTCAACATTGTGTGGTATTCAGTCCCTCAGCCTTGTGTGGTATTCAGTCTCTCAGCCTTGTGTGGTATTCAGTCCCTCAGCCTTGTGTGGTATTCAGTCCTTCAGCCTTGTGTGGTATTCAGTCTCTCAGCCTTGTGTGGTATTCAGTCCCTCAGCCTTGTATGGTGTTCAGTCCCTCAGCCTTATATGGTGTTCAATCCCTAAGCCCTGTGTGGTATTCAGTCCCTCAGCCTTGTGTGGTATCCAGTCCCTCAGCCTTGTGTTGTATTCAGTCCCTCAGCCTTGTATGGTATTCAGTCCCTCAGCCTTGTATGGTGTTCAGCCCCTCAGCCTTGTATGGTGTTCAGTCCCTCAGCCTTGTATGGTGTTCAGTCCCTCAGCCTTGTATGGTGTTCAGTCCCTCAGCCTTGTATGGTGTTCAGTCCCTCAGCCTTGTATGGTGTTCAGTCCCTCAACCTTGTGTGGTATTCAGTCCCTCAGCCTTGTGTGGTATTCAGTCCCTCAGCCTTGTGTGGTATTCAGTCTCTCAGCCTTGTGTGGTATTCAGTCCCTCAGCCTTATGTGATATTCAGTCCCTCAGCCTTGTGTGGTACTCAGTCCCTCAGCCTTGTGTGGTACTCAGTCCCTCAGCCTTATGTGATATTCAGTCCCTCAACCTTGTGTGGTATTCAGTCCCTCAGCCTTGTGTGATATTCAGTCCCTCAACCTTGTGTGGTATTCAGTCCCTCAGCCTTGTGTGGTATTCAGTCCCTCAGCCTTGTGTGGTATTCAGTCTCTCAGCCTTGTATGGTGTTCAGTCCCTCAGCCTTGTATGGCGTTCAATCCCTAAGCCCTGTGTGGTATTCAGTCCCTCAACCTTGTGTGGTATTCAGTCCCTCAGCCTTGTGTGATATTCAGTCCCTCAGCCTTGTGTGATATTCAGTCCCTCAACCTTGTGTGGTATTCAGTCCCTCAGCCTTGTGTGGTATTCAGTCTCTCAGCCCTGTGTGGTATTCAGTCCCTCAGCCTTGTGTGGTATTCAGTCCCTCAGCCTTGTGTGGTATTCAGTCCCTCAGCCTTGTGTGGTATTCAGTCCCTCAGCCTTGTGTGGTATTCAGTCTCTCAGCCTTGTGTGATGTTCAGTCCTTCAGCCTTGTATGGCGTTCAATCCCTAAGCCTTGTGTGGTATTCAGTCCCTCAGCCTTGTGTGGTATTCAGTCCCTCAGCCTTGTGTGATATTCAGTCCCTCAGCCTTGTATGGTGTTCAGTCGCTCAGCCTTGTATGGTGTTCAGTCGCTCAGCCTTGTGTGGTGTTCAGTCGCTCAGCCTTGTGTGGTGTTCAGTCCCTCAGCCTTGTGTGGTATTCAGTCCCTCAGCCTTGTGTGATATTCAGTCGCTCAGCCTTGTATGGTGTTCAGTCGCTCAGCCTTGTATGGTGTTCAGTCGCTCAGCCTTGTATGGTGTTCAGTCGCTCAGCCTTGTATGGTGTTCAGTCCCTCAGCCTTGTGTGGTGTTCAGTCCCTCAGCCTTGTGTGGTGTTCAGTCCCTCAGCCTTGTGTGGTGTTCAGTCCCTCAGCCTTGTGTGGTGTTCAGTCCCTCAGCCTTGTGTGGTGTTCAGTCCCTCAGCCTTGTGTGGTGTTCAGTCCCTCAGCCTTGTGTGGTGTTCAGTCCCTCAGCATTGTATGGTGTTCAGTCCCTCAGCCTTGCGTGGTGTTCAGTCCCTCAGCATTGTATGGTGTTCAGTCCCTCAGCCTTGCGTGGTGTTCAGTCCCTCAGCCTTGCGTGGTGTTCAGTCCCTCAGCCTTGCGTGGTGTTCAGTCCCTCAGCCTTGCGTGGTGTTTAGTCCCTCAGCCTTGCATGGTGTTCAATCCCTCAGCCTTACATGGTGTTCAATCCCTCAGCCTTGTGTGGTGTTCAGTCCCTCAGCCTTGTGTGGTGTTCAGTCCCTCAGCCTTGTGTGGTGGATGTTGCACCGCCTGCCGAGTCTTGCTTTCGTAGGGAGTCATTTCTGTGCAGATTTGGGACTAGTCCCTCTAGGATTTTCCAAGTGTATATTATCATGCATCTTTCTCGCCTGCGTTCCAAGGAGTACAGGTCAACGGATTTCAGCCGTTTCCAGTAATTTAGATGCTTTATGGTACTTGCATGTGCAGTGAAAGTTCTCTGTACATTCTCCAGGTCTGTAATTTCGCCAGCCTTGAAAGGGGTCGTCAGTGTACAACAATATTCCAGCCTAGAGAGAACAAGCGATTTGAAGAATATTATCATTGGCTTGGCATCCCTAGTTTTTGAAGCTTTTCATTATCCATCCTATCATTTTCATAGCTGATGTGGTACACATTGTGATTATTATTTATTTATAATTACAAATAACATTATATTTAGCGCATTTATTCGAATATGATACTTGCATTATTCTTATTGTAATATTTATTATTAATAAACCTTTCAAGGATATTAGTGAAAGGTACTGAGTCAAGAAATTGAAGCTACTCCCCTTCCTTGGATCAAACCTGATTTCCTCTCATTCACCAGGTGCGTATGATCCCTTGTAAATACCGACCATAATAGCCTTGTTGGAAACTGTTGGGTCAATGTCATTCTTATATTTTGTAGTTTTACTGTGCCTTGATGCCAGTGAGTAGCTCTTCATCCTTGGAATTGGAGCTAATATCCCCTTCTTCGTATCAAGTTCCATTACTTTTGATTCTGCTTTTCTTTCTTCCTTTTTTTCTTTCTCTCTCTCTCTCGTAAAATATGTATAGGGTGTGTTTTTGTATTCTGTATGACCTGTACGGGTTTAATACTTGTTTTCAAATATATTAATTTGTAGTAAATAAAAGTAGAGTAGTTAATATAGGTGACAGCGTTGTATATGATCTTATACTCTTATCTATTTAATCTATCTTCCCCCTCTCCCCCAACTTCCTTATCAACAGCCACTCTTGTCCCCCCTACCCCCCTCTGCCACTAACGCTACAGGTTTAGTTCTTGTTTTCAAGTACCAATTTGTAGTGTGTAAACTGTAGTGTATCGTTACTTTGTGTAGTGTACGTTTAGTGTCCATAAATTGTAAAAGAAACCAAAAAGAGAATTTTTTCAGGAAATCCAGCCGTGAGAAGAGTGGAAGCAGTACCTACAATGGAGAAGAATTGGCAATAAATTAAGAAAAAATATTATGGAAAGCGAGGGTTTTTGTCTACATAAAATGTAAAAAAAAAAAAACTATATATTTAATATAGTGTATATTGGAGCAAGCTCCCAGCAACAGGCACAAACCATCTCTGACAGCAAGATCAAGTAAGAAGACCTCGAGCATTTCTGAAATCAACAGAAGGTTCTTAAGAGTTAAAATAGGAAGAGGTAGAAGATAATGACTACTACTTCCTGGTACCGTCGCATACTCTGGAACTACAAGGGCAACCGCGAGTATGCCAAGTGAGTTCCCTCTGTCAGTTAATATTACTTTCTTGGGGGCGAATTCCCATTGTTTTAAATTATTTATTAAGTATATGCAGGCTGTAAATAATCTCTCTGGCACTGAAAGGGACAATCAACACTGATCAAAATTCTAAGTGTCACCATTGGCACAATTTCTCATGTTTTGAAAGTTCTCATACATCCTGTCATCTTCCTGGCTATACATTTGCCTTATTGTGCTCTGAAAGAGAGGTCAGCTTACATAATCACTCCCAGGTCTTTTGTGTTTTCATTTCATTGTTTTATAATCCTCTTGTTTTGTATACAGTGTTCCTTTTGAGTTCTTCATTCTTTTCATAATTGAGCAACTAGAAGTTATCACCATTGAACGTTATGCTCTCTTCTGCCCACTTGAAAAACCTGCTCTCTAGATTCCTCTTGCAAAGATACATACTTTATTTCAGCATGATACAATGTTGTACAAAAGTGAATTGCATTTAGGTGTGTGTGCTGAAAACCCCTTAATAAGTAGTGCATTTCGGGAAAACTTAGGACTAACTTAAAATAAGTTTCTCTCTCAGCATCTAACATACTTGCTAAGTTCATTTACGTTAATCTCTTAACATTAGTATACTTGCATAGTATCACTCTCACTCTTTCACTCTCACTCTCTTTCACTCTCACTCTTTCTTTCACTCTTTCTTTCTCTTTCTCTTTCTCTGAGCATCTATGTGAACTACCATAAGTTTGTTTTTCCTAGCATATAGATACCCTTTAATTTGTCCTTGTCTCTGTTTTCATGCATTTGTAGATGTATAACCACGTTTACACTAGGGAATACTATTTACAGTATTTATACTCGGCAAGTTAATTTTAATCCTAGTTTAAGGGTTAAATTATTCTTGATGTTAGCATAGAGCCAAATTACAGCCTGAACGACCCACATACTCATGATAAAACATAAACTAGTTAAATTAATTCACCTATATGCAGTTACTGGGATTGCAATGGTGTGATGACTTCATATTGACTACACATATGCTGCTATGTATGATAATTCTATGTAACTGTATTTGTGTATACCTGAATAAACTTACTTACTTACTTACTTACTTACTTACTTACTCAGATATCACCAACGTGGATATGACTGAAAAATGTTGGGGAAAAATTGAACTTAAAAAAATGAAGATGAGACAAGATATGAAGAGATAAAAACAGTAGATGAGGACACAGCATACAAAAACAACATACACATGTATTTAAAAGGAAAATACAGACCTGGAGATGGGGGATGCACCATAACAATACAGCAGTATAATAACTCCAGGGTCAAAGATGAGTGGAGGAGAAAGTGGACCTGGAGTATTCACTCCCATCTGAAACAGTGGAGAGTTCCTGCTTCCCATATATGTTTAAAGCTGGGTAAGAGAGAAGGAAAAACTTTTACCTAGAACACTCAGAACCCAAACCATATAAAATTATAAAATATGCTAAGCAGTTTTTTCTCTTCATCCCACAATGAAAAGGGTGAATGACAAACATGCTGCTAATATGATCAGACAGTAGATACTGGAGTTCATCCCAGGTACATGTTAGGTAATGACTTAAGCTGCTTGCCAGAGTACAGTCACATTGCCAGCTTAATGTAAAAAACCCAAAGGTGCTTAGCAGGTAATTTTAAGATCAATAGACATCACTTTATTTAAATTCCTTATCTTATTCTTTGTTATAGAAACTAAACTTAGCTCATAAAAGCTGTTACGAGTTTCTGCACAATAAGTGGTGAACTTGCCCTTGATAAGGACAAATAAAATCTTGTATCAAAAAGAGAGAAAATCCTTGACTGACTTTACAATGAACATATTTAACGAACGCAAACAAGATAACTTCTGTAGGCTGTCAAGGAATCTCAACAGTGAAACATTCAGAATTTTGTACATTAACAAATTAAGCTCATCCTTGGGTATGCAGACCCAGCAAGGAGCCGACACTACTCAAGCTGTTAAGAAAGCTTGGAAATGAAAAAAAAGCCCAGGAAAACTATCTCCATTTAGATTACAGTACTCATCCATGAAGGGGATTGGGGGGGGAGGTTGGTAGCATTAGTTGTTGTATGGTAGTGGTTCTGTATGATGTTAAATGTAGTTGTATGTTGATAGACACTTGACCTGGTGTCCTTGTTTTGTGTGTTTTCTGTGTGCATGGGTTTAGAGCAAGTTGCTCCTGCCTCTCACAACTACTGGATCACTATGACATGGTCTTGGATGCACTGGAGGACAAACAAAATGCAGATGTAGTATACACAGGTTAGATGTTAGGTGTTCAACACAACTCCATAGAATCTCCCAAGTTATTCTGGCACTTGGGCTGTGGTCTGAGTGTCAGGAATGGCTCAGTTGGAGTTGAGTCAGCCTGCCCTTGTCATAGGCTGCCCCTGCCATAGGGCTGTAAACAGTACTCCACTTGACACAAAGTCAGCTCACCATGCCCTTGCCATAGGGCTGTAAGTGGTACGTCACTTGTACCCACTCTGGCACTACTTCAGGAGCCACTGCAGTGGATCAGGGCCTGATCACCCAGGCTGTTACTGTTGGCCACACACAGACCAACGTACAAGCCACGACCTGTTTGGTCAGGTACCGACTTTGTGTCTTTCTAGCCAGTTTTCTGTTGGTAATCCCCCTTATGTGTGCTGGGTGGCAGTTGAACAGTCTTGGGCCCCTGTCACTTACTATTGTGTTGTCTCTTAGCATACTTTTAGTGCCCTTGCTTTTCATTGAAAACTAGTAAAAATATCAACCTGGATGACTGCTAATAAACTTACACTTAATATTGACAAAGCCTTCTACATTCTGTTTGTGAACTGAACAGGTGCTGCCCAGCTGAACATAACGATTGACAACACTCTTATTGCTAAACATAATGAGGGCAAATTCCTGGGCCTGCACCTTAATAGCAACCTGAAATTCAACACCCATTTTTTTTTCCAACAAACTGGCCGTATCCCACCAAGGCAGGGTGGCCCAAAAAGAAAAACGAAAGTTTCTCTTTTTAAATTTAGTAATTTATACAAGAGAAGGGGTTACTAGCCCCTTGCCCCAGGCATTTTAGTCGCCTCTTACAACACGCATGGCTTGTGGAGAAAGAATTCTGTTCCACTTCCCCATGGAGATAAGAGGAATTAAAGAACAAGAACTAGAAAAAAATAGAAAACCCAGAGGGGTGTGTATATATATGCTTGTACATGTATGTTCAACACCCATATCCAACAAATAACAAAAAAAGTATCCAAAACAATTGGGATCCTCTCCAAGATATGTTACTATGTACTGCAATTAGCTGTGCTCACATTATACTATTCAGTCTTCTATCCCTACCTCACCTATACTATTTGTGCCTGGGGATCAACAGCAGCAACTTGCCTAAAGCCAGTAATAACCCAACAGAAAGCCGTAGTAACAATTATCACGCAATCCAATGCAAGACAACACACACCCCCACCCTTCAAAGACCTAAACTACTCACTGTACAGAACATTCACACCCACTATTGTGCAACCTACATTTACAGAACCATAAATTCTAATATTAACCATGAATTAAAACACTTTCTTGATAGTTGCAACAGGACACAGACACACTACCAGACACAAAAATCTGACATTTGCCATGTCTGGCTTAACTTCAACAGAAATTTGATGTACATAAAAGGGCCTAAAATCTGGAACTCCCGGCCTGAAAACTCTAGAACCACAGACTCGAGCACCATTTTCAAAACTACCATTAAAAACAGGTCATCTCCTTAATACACCCAATCAGCAAACCAAATGAAAACCACCTAATTCTCTTTTTGTATCATGAACACATCCAAAACAATATAGTCTTACTCTCAATATCTGTAATTCCCCTCTAATTTACACTTACACCCACCCAAATGACTGTAAACATTAAATTCCTAATATAACTATTGCCTATTAAATCTTAAGTTAGTCCTAAATTTGCCTAAGATAATTAGGTATGTATCTAATTATGTATGTATCTAATAATGTATGTTCAAGCATACTGCTTCATAACTTGTATCAATATAGAGTAAGAATTAGTATTAGTCTGCCCGAAATACCTTGGCATGCTAGTGGCCTTCTTTGTAATTAATATTTTATAACATGTAAACCACACATTGTAAGCTTTACAAGGAAATAAAGATTTTGATTTTTGATTTTTGGGGATGTTGCACTGCCTGCCAATTATTTGCTTTCATAGGGAGTGATTTCCATGTGCAGATTTGTCTCCAGTCCCACCTAGGCTGGGTGACCCAAAGAAAAAAAATCCCCAAAAAGAAAATACTTTCATCATCATTCAACACTTACACCTCACTCATACATAATCACTGTTTTTGCAGAGGTGCCCAGATTCAACAGTTTAGAAGAATATACTATAACATATCCCTCCAAACTGCCAATATCCCAAATCCATCTAAAGTGCAGGCATTGTACTTCCCATTTCCAGTACTCAAGTTCAGCTGTATAAAAATAACCAGTTTCCCTGAATCCCTTCACTAAATATTACCCTGCTCACACTCCAACAACTCGTCAGTTCCCAAAAACCATTAGTCTCCATTTACTCCTATCTAGCACACTCGTGCACGCTTGCTGGAAGCCCAAGCCCCTTGCCCACAAAACCTCCTTTACCCCCTCCCTCCAGCACTTTGGAGGACGACCCCTACCCCGCCGCCTTTTCCCTACAGATTCCTATGCTCTCCATGTCATTCTACTTTGATCCATTCTCTCTAAATGACCAAACCACCTCAACAACCCCTCTTCATCCCTCTGATTAATACTATTAGTAACTCCATACCTTCTCCTAATTTCCACACTCCGAATTTTCTGCATAACATATACACCACACATTACCCTTAGACAGGACATTCTCCACTGCCTTCAACCGCCTCCTTGCTGCAGCATTTACAACCCAAGCTTCACACCCGTATAAGAGTGTTAGTACAACTGTACTTTCGTACATTCCTTTCTTTGCCTCCATAGATAATGTTATTTGTTTCCACATATACCTCAATGCACCAGTCACTTTTTTTCCTTCATCAGTTCTGTAGTTAACCTCATCCTTCATAAACCCATCTGCTGACACATCAACTCTCAAATATCTAAAAACATTCACGTCTCCCATACTCCCTCTCTCCAATGCGATATCCAATTTTGCTTTATCTAAATCATTGATACCCTCATCACCCTACTCTTATCTATATTCACTTTCAACTTTCTACCTTACACCCTCCCAAACTCGTCCACTAACCTTTGCAACTTTTCCTTAGAATCTCCCATAAGCACAGTAGTATCAACTCCCATTTTGTATTTGATTCCCCATAATTTCATCCCACCCCTCTCCCCAACACCCTAGCATTTACTTCTTTTACAACTCCATCTATAAATATATTAAACAACTATTGTGACATTACACATCCCTGTCTAAGACCTACTTTTATTGGGAAGTAGTCTCCCTCTTTTCTACACGCCCTAACCTAAGCCTCACTATCCTCATAAAAACTCTTTACAGCATTTAGTAACTTACTACATATTAAGTTATACGTGCAACATCTGCCACATTGCTCCCCTATCCACTCTATCATACGACTTTTCTAAATCCATAAATGCAATGAAAACTTCCCTACCTTTATCTAAATACTGTTCACATATACGCTTCAATGTATACACATCCCCTACCCATTCTAAAGCCTCTTTGCTTATCTGCAATCCTACTCTCTGTCTTACCTCTAATTCTTTCAATAATAACCCTACCGTACACTTTTCCTGGTATACTCAGTCAACTTATTCCCCTATAATTTTTTGCAATCTCTCTTGTACCCTTCCCTTTATATAAAGGAACTATACATGCTCTCTGCCAATCCCTAGATACCTTCCCCTCTTTCATACATATTCTTTCTTCTTTCAACACACCGGCCATATCCCATCGAGGCAGGGTGGCCCAAAAGGAAAAACGAAAGTTTCTCCTTTTACATTTAGTAATATATACGGGAGAAGGGGTTACTATCCCCTTTCCCCTGGCATTTTAGTTGCCTCTTACAACACGCATGGCTTATGGAGGAAGAATTCTGTTCCACTTTCCCATGGAGATAAGAGGAAATAAACAAGAACAAGAACTAGAAAGAAAATAGCAGAAAACCCAGAGGGGTGTGTATATATATGCTTGTACAGGTGTGTGTAGTGTGACCTAAGTGTAAGTAGAAGTAGCAAGACGTACCTGTAATCTTGCATATTTATGAGACAGACAAAAGACACCAGCAATCCTACCATCATGTAAAACAATTACAGGCTTTCGTTTCACACTCACTTAGCAGGAAGGTAGTACCCCCCTGGATGGTTGCTGTCTACCAACCTACTACCTAATTTCATTTTTTTTTTTTTTCAACAAGTCGGCCGTCTCCCACCGAGGCAGGGTGACCTAATTTCATACATATACTAAATAAAAATACCAACCACTCCAGGGAGCAAGGGGCTAGTAACCCCTTCTCCTGTATATATTACTAAATTTAAAAAGAGAAACTTTCGTTTTTCTTTTTGGGCCACCCTGCCTTGGTGGGATATGGCTGGTTTGTTGGAAAAAAAAAAAAAACCACTCCAGCACTATATCCCTTCCTGCTTTAATCATTTCTATCATGATCCCATCAGTTCCAGCTGCTTTACCCCCTTTCATTCTACATAATGCCTCGTGCACCTCCTCCACACTCACATCCTGCTCTTCTTCACTCCTTAAAGATGGTATACCTCCCTGGCCAGTGCATGAAATTACCACCTCCCTTCCTTCATCGACATTTAAGTTCCTCAAAATATTCCCGCCATCTACCCAGTACCTCCATCTCCCCATCTGCTACTCCCCTACTCTGTTTTTAACTGACAAATCCATACGTTCCCTAGGCTTTCTTAACTTTTTTAACTCCAAAATTTTTTCTTATTTTCATTAAAATTTCTTGACAGTGCTTCTCCCACTCTAGCATCTGCTCTCCTTTTGCACTCTCTCACCACTCTCTTCACCTTTCTTTTACTCTCCATATACTCTGCTCTTCTTATAACACTTCTGCTTTGTAAAAACCTCTCATAAGCTACCTTTTTTTCTTTTATCACTCCTTTTCCTTCATCATTTCAAAGTGTATGTTATGATTAATTGATTGTGTTCCCTTTTGTTAATAATCAAACATGTGATTCCTCTCATTTAAACTTGTTAAAGCCATATAGCACAAGCTAATAGGATATTCAGTCCTCTTGCATTCATTGTGAACTCCTAAATTATACTTACTCTCACCCAAGTGACTGTAAGTATAATTTAGGAGTATAAAATTACTTGTATTGTTATTGCCTTATTAATCTTTAAGTTAGTCTTTAAGTTTGTCCAAAATGCTTTGCATGTGTAGGGCTTTCTGCATTTACACCTTTGTACAAAATTTGTATCATGCTGAAATAAAATTATCTTTCTTGCCTGTGTTCCAAGGAGTACAGATCAAGGGACTTCAACCATTCCCAGTAATTTAGGTGTTTTCTTGTACTTATAGGTGCAGTGGAAGATCTCTATATATTTTCCAGGTCTACAATTTTGCAACTTGGCAATGACCAAATGATAGTAACTTCAGCCATGCTGGAACAAAACCTCTGAAGTTCCCATAGCTGATGAACCCTTGCTGGAATACTCGATGTTCTCACTTCTTTACTGAGGTCTCCCAGCTCAGACTGACAGATTTCAACACATTGTATGAATCCTATTCTGCATGATGGAATATGACATTGGATACATCAGCATAATGCTGATATATCAAATTTTGTTAAATAAAAAATGAATATTCAAATAACTTAACTTCAGTTTTTTTTTTAACAAGTCGGCCACTGTTAATTAGGTCTGAGTTCTAGTTTTAGTTGATTTAAATGGTTTGTATAATCGAATTTTCAAAATGTATGAAATAAATATTGCCTAATTTTTTTAATAATTGTGTACATATTGTAAATAAAATTTGTCTCCTCTCATTTGATTCATAGTTATTGAAGGCATTTTTAGCATTATAAGTGTTTAGTGTTAATCTTTCAGTATTGGAAGCCATTTTATAATGTCTGAATATTTTTTACTTAATTTTTTTTTTTAGGCTTGCATGTTTCATTACAATAGATAACAGATATGTTCTCCTGCAGGAGTGGCTTTGACCTTGCCCGTGCCAGATTTGTGGAGGAAGATCTTGAGGTAGACTGCTCCAATCGTCACTACATCATCACAGGTTCGTAACCTCACATGAATGTAATGTTACCTCCTCAGGTGTTTCCTTGGATTGAATCTGATTGCCTTTTATTCCCCAGGCACTGTATGACCTTTAAAGGTTAAGCGCTCTTATGCCTTCCCCCTCTTTGTGTAATAATCTCAAAGTATTTTCTGTGTTTGATCACCTTAATGTGGTAGTGGTGTTTGTGGTACAAAATAGTAGCCTGGTTAAGATGGCATCACATCATCCTCCATTTTCAGACATATAACTTGGATATTTACCAGTTCATCAAAAGTTGCTTTTGAAGGAAAGGGAAAGATGTTCATATCTGACTTCCTCCCATTCCTTCATGTGCTGTAAGACCTCTATGGGTTTTAGCACTTTTCAGTGATTATTATAATAATTTCTATTATAATATCAACCAATATAATTATTGATGAAAAAGTCACTGGTAGTGTTGTAGCAGTCACACCACATGATAGAGATTATATCATACAATTGGCAGAGGTACTACTGCAAGTTGTCTTCATATCCCAGTGTGGCAAGTGAATGATCTGCACTTCCAACAGTCTTTCCAAATTACCCATTATGAGCTGAATGACATTTTTGTCTGTTGTCTGATGTTTTTGGTCAAAATAGATAATTTTATTATTCCTTGGTTTTTTTTTTTTCTGTCTGTCTCATACCAGTGGTTGTTCAGAGGCATGGCACATTTTATTAGCAATGTCATGAAACATTTAGGTAGTAGGTTGGTAGACAGCAACTGCCCAGGGAGGTGCTACCGTCCTGCCAAGTGAGTGTAAAACAGAAACCTGTAATTGTTTTACATGATGGTAGGATTGCTGTTTTTTTTTTTTTTTTTTTTGTCTCATAAACGTACAAGATTTCAGGTACGTCTTGCTACTTCTACTTACACTTAGGTCACACTACTCATACATGTACAAGCATATACATATATACACACCCCTCTCGGTTTTCTTCTATTTTCTTACTAGTTTTTGTTCCTGTTTATTTCCTCTTATCTCTATGGGGAAGTGGAACAGAATTCTTCTTCTGTAAGCCATGCGTGTTGTAAGAGGCAACTAAAATGCTGGGAGCAAGGGGCTAGTAACCCCTTCTCCTGTATAAAATACTAAATTTAAAAAAAACTTTCGTTTTTCTTTTTGGGCCACCCCGCCTTGGTGGGAAGGGGAGGGGGTCCTTAATGACAGTGAAGGACTCTTGACCTGTGGAATCAGTTACCCTCCCTGTCATTGGATCAAAATTACCTCCCATTTCTCAGGTGTTAACTGACTTTTTACTAGCTAAGTCCTTTCCCATAATTATAAGAATAGTCAAGGAAACCAGTTAGCCAGATTGAATCCTGGAGGTTGGTGTGAGATAACAAGTCTTACATAGGAAGTCCAGTGCTTGCAATTTAAATGACGGGTGGGGATGTTTGCATATGCGTTCATTTGAATTGTGATGACTATGCACTTCTGGTAAGACAACTATTCAGTGAACGCATTTCCTTGTTTTCGGTCGTCCTACTTTTAATATGGGACATCAGATGTGGTATAAAATATGCACAGCCTTTGGTTTTAGAATACACTAATACTGTGTATTAATGTCAAATATTTTCCTTCATTGTTTTTAATTAGGACCTACTTTTGTAAAACACCAAACCTGTATGGGTCATTCAGAGCAAGCAATGGAGGCTCCATTCTCTCTCCACTAGGCACAAGTCAGTGTGCTACCTATTTTTATTCACATAATTAATTTAAGCTGTAACATGTTACTTGTGTAGTGTATATTCATTATATATTCTGTAAGCAACATAAGACTTAACAGTACAGTACTGTACTGTTGAGTGCAGGGAGGAATTAATATTTTGAAACCAAGGTCATTAGTGTTATCCTTTAAATGTAATTATAAACTTAATTTATTGAACTCGTTTTAATCCTTACATATTTACTGTTCCTTAATTAACCTTGATAGGCACTGAAATTTATAATGACCAAATGTAACAATTCACTGGAGTGACCCAGGAGTTGAACCCGCTATTGGAGATTACCAGTCTTTTCCTTTTGCCTATGCTCTGTGTTGCCTTGCTAATTGTAACTTCTTTGTATGGCTTTGTAACTTGCTCAGCTATCAAAACTTTGGGGTCCAGTCCCTGGACCCATTATGTACCTCTGTAATCTTTTGACTACCGCCCACAGGATGGGTATGGGATGCATACTAAGCATATTAAACTATTAAACTTTTTATGGCTCGTAAGAAATAAAAAAAATCAATTTTAATATACGAGTTGACAGCAGGTTGGAATCCTGATCACTTCATTGAATTACCTGGATACGTATACTGTATTGACGTTAATGAGGATATTTTTCCTCTTCCCCCATCAGCTGAGCTACAATGATTGCTGACAAGCACAAACTGCCACAAAGTGTAATTACACTTCTTTCAAATTGTTTAGTATATGTAAAAATGTTGCAGATATAGTAATATATAGGCTACTTTAGTATATAATACATAGTTGTAAATATGTTTATATTACCTCTGTATACAGGAAGGCCCTGCATTTCAGTGTCCCTCTTTTCAATGTCCCACTATTTCGGTAGTTTTCAATTGAGCCGTTCATTATGTTCAGCGCTTTTTCCACTTTTCCACCGTTTTCGGCCTGACGTGCGCAACAGCTGTCAGGGAAGGGCATCCAGCCCCATATTTTAAGGTGTACACTGTATATTCATTTTACTTTCATATCTTGTTTTTAAGCCTGTAATTGTTTTACATGATGGGAGGATTTCTGGTGTCTTTTTTTTTTTGTCTCATAAACATGCAAGATTTTAGGTATACATGTATCTTGTATATACACACCCCTCTAGGTTTCCTTCTGTTTTCTTACTAGTTCTAGTTTATTTCCTCTTATCTCCATTGGGAAGTGGAACAGAATTCTTCCTCCATAAGCCATGTGTGTTGTAAGAGGCGACTAAAATACTGGGAGCAAGGGGCTAGTAACCCCTTCTCCCGTATAAGTTACTAAATTTAAAAAGAAACTTTTGTTTTTCTTTTTGGGCCACCCTGCCTTGGTGGGATACGGCCGGTTTGTTGAAAGAAGAAAGAAATATGTATATATGTATTTTTTTTTTTCAACAAGTCGGCCGTCTCCCACCGAGACAGGGCGACCCAAAAAAAGAAAGAAAATCCCCAAAAAGAAAATACTTTCATAATCATACAACACTTTCACCTCACTCACACATACTGTAATCACTGTTTTTGCAGAGGTGCTCAGAACACAACAGTTTAGAACCATATACGTATAAAGATACACAACATATCCCTCCAAACTGCTAATATCCTGTATATACGTGGGAGACGGCCGACTTGTTGGAAAAAAAAAACGTATGTATATACATATGTTTTCTTTCAACGTACCAGCCATATCCCACTGAGGTGGGGTGCCCCTGAAGGAAAAACGAAAGTTTCTCCTTTTATATTTAGTAATATATACAGGAGAAGAGGTTACTAGGCCCTTGCTCCCGGCATTTTAGTTGCCTCTTAAGACACTCATGGCTTACGGAGGAAGAATTCTGTTACACTTCCCCATAGAGATATTGGAAATAAACAAGAACTAGAAAGAAAATAGAAGAAAACCCAGAGGGGTGTGTATAAATATGCTTGTACATGTATGTGTAGTGTGACCTAAGTGTAAGTAGAAGTAGCAAGGCGTACCTGAAATCTTGCATGTTTGAGACAGAAAAATTTCACCAGCAATTCAACCATCATGTAAAACAATTACACGTTTCCGTTTACTCACTTGGCAGGATGGTAGTACCTCCCTGGGCGGTTGCTGTCTACCAACCTACTACCTAGTATATATATACTGTATATATATATATAGGTGGTAGGCTGGTAGACAGCAACCACCCAGGGAGGTACTACCGTCCTGCCAAGCGAGTGTAAAACGAAAGCCTGTAATTGTTTTACATGATGGTAGGATTGCTGGTGTCTTGTTTGTCTCATAAATATGCAAGATTACAGGTACGTCTTGCTACTTCTACTTACATTTAGGTCACACTACACATACATGTACACGTTTTTTTATACAAACTCATCTGAGTTTTCTTTTATTTTATCTTAATAGTTCTTGTTCTTATTACTTTTCCTTTTATATCCATGGGGAAGTGGAATAAGAATCTTACCTCCGTAAGCCATGCTTGTTGTAAAAGTCAACTAAAATGCTGGGAACAATGGGCTAGTAACCCCTTTTCCTGTAATAATTACTAAAAAGAATAAGAAGAAAATTGTTAAAGTGGGATGTGTGAATGTGCGTGGATGTTGTGTGAATGATAAGAAAGAGATGATTGTGGATGTTATGAATGTAATAAAGTTGGTAGAATTACCGACAATATGTAAAGTAAAAGGACACAAATGCAACTAATGTGACATTTTAGAGGCAACGTTTCGCTCTCCAGGAGCGAAACGTTGCCTCAATAAAATGTCACATTAGTTGCATTTGTGTCCTTTTACTTTACATGTTATGAATGAGAAGAAGCTGGATGTCCTGGCTTTAAGTGAAACAAAGATGAAGGGGGTGGGAGAGTTTCAGTGGAGAGGAATAAATGGGATTAGGTCAGGGGTTTCAAATAGTTAGAGCTAAAGAAGGAGTAGCAATAATGTTGAAGGATAAGCTATGGTAGGAAAAGAGGGACTATAAATGTATTAATTCAAGGATTATGTGGAGTAAAATAAAGGTTGGATGTGAAAAGTGGGTTATAGTAGTGAGTGCATGGGGAGTTTTGAACCAAGTGTGAGAGTACTTGTGGTTGGGGATTTCAATGCTAAAGTGGGTAAAAATGTTGTGGAGGGAGTAGTAGGTAAATTTGGGGTGCCAGGAGTAAATGAAAATGGGGAGCCTTTAATTGAGCTATGTGTAGAAAGAGGTTTGGTAATAAGTAATACATATTTTATGAAAAAGAGGATAAATAAATATACAAGGATGATAAAGCACGTAATGAAAGTAGTTTGTTAGATAATGTATTGGTGGATAAAAGGTTGATGGGTAGGCTCCACGATGTACACGTTTATAGAGGGGCAACTGATATATCGGATCATTATCTAGTTGTAGCTACAGTTGGAGTAAGAGGTAGCTGGGACAAGAGGAAAATGGCAACAACAAGTAAGAGGGAGGTGAAAGTGTATAAACTAAGGGAGGAGGAAGTTCGGGTGAGATATAAGCAACTATTGGCAGAAAGGTGGGCTGGTGCAAGTATGAATAGTGGGGGGCTTGAAGAGGGTTGGAATAGTTTTAAAAATGCAGTAATAGAATGTGGGGCAGAAGTTTGTGGATATAGGAGGGTGGGTACAGGAGGAAAGAAGAGTGATTGGTGGAATGATGAAGTAAAGGGTGTGATAAAAGAGAAGAAGGTAGCTTATGAGAAGTTTTTACAAAGCAGAAGTGTTATAAGAAGAGTAGAGTATATGGAGAGTAAAAGAAAGGTGGAGAGTGGTGAGAGAGTGCAAAAGGAGAGTGGATGATAGAGTGAGAGGGCAATGTCAAGAAATTTTAATGAAAATAAGAAAAAAAATTTTGGAGCTAGTTAAACAAGTTAAGAAAGCCTAGGGAATGAATGGATTTGTCAAAAACAGTAGGGGAGTTAGTAGATGGGGAGATGGAGGTATTGGGTAGATGGCGAGAATATTTTGAGGAATTTTTAAATGACTAAGAAAGGGAGGCGGTAATTTCATGCACTGGCCAGGGAGGTATACCATCTTTTAGGAGTGAAAAAGAGCAGGATTTGAGTGTGGGGGAGGTGCGTGAGGCATTACATAGAATGAAAGGGGGTAAAGCAGCTGGAACTGACGGGATCATGACAGAAATGTTAAAAGCAGGGGGGATATAGTGTTGGAGTGGTTGGTATTTTTGTTTAATAAATGTATGAAAGAGGGGAAGGTACCTAGGGATTGGCAGGGAGCATGTCCAGTCCCTTTATATAAAGGGAAGGGGGACAAAAGAGATTGTAAAAATTATAGAAGAATAAGTTTACCGAGTATACCAGGAAAAGCGTACGGTAGGGTTATTATCGAAAGAATTAGAGGCAAGACAGAATGTAGAATTGAGGATGAGCAAGGTTGTTTTAGAGTGGGTAGGGGATGTGTAGATCAAGTGTTTACATTGAAGCATGTATGTGAACAGTATTTAGATAAAGGTAGGGAAGTTTTTATTGCATTTATAGATTTAGAAAAGGCACATGAAAGAGTGGGTAGGGGAGCAATGTGGCCGATGTTGCAAGTATATGGAATAGGTGGTAAGTTACTAAATGCTGTAAAGTGTTTTTATGAGGATAGTGAGGCTCAGGTTAGGGTGTGTAGAAGAGGGAGACTACTTCCCGGTAAAAGTAGGTCTTAGACAGGGATGTGTAATGTCACCATGGTTATTAAAGGTCCATGGGGTTGTAAAAGAAGTAAATGCTAGGGTGTTTAGGAGAGGGGTGGGATTAAATTATGGGGAATAAAATACAAAATGGGAATTGACAGTTACTTTTTGCTGATGATACTGTGCTTATGGGAGATTCTGAAGAAAACTTGCAAAGGTTAGTGGACGAATTGCGTGTGTAAAGGTAGAAAGTTGAAAGTGAACATAGAAAAGAGTAAGGTGATGAGGGTATCAAATGATTTAGTATGGAAGACGTGCGAATGTTTTCAGATATTTGGGAGTTGACGTGTCACCGGATGGATTTATGAAGGAGGAGGTTAATCATAGAATTGATGAAGGAAAAAAGGTGACTGGTGCATTGAGGTATATGTGGAGACAGAAAATGTTATCTATGGAGGCAAGGAAAGGAATGTATAAAAGTATAGTATGTAGTACTAACACTCTTATATGAGTGTGAAGCTTGGGTTGTAAATGCTGCAGCTAGGAGGCAGCTGGAGGCAGTGGAGATGTCCTGTCTAAGGGCAATGTGTGGTGTAAATATTATGCAGAAAATTCAGGGTGTGGAAATTAGGAGAAGGTGTGGAATTAATAAAAGTATTAGTCAGAGGGCTGAAGAGGGGTTGTTGAGGTGGTTTGGTCATTTAGAGAGAATGGATCAAAGTAGAATGACATGAAGAGCATTTAAATCTGTAGGGGAAGGAAGGCGGGGTAGGGGACGTCCTTGAAAAAGTTGGATGGAGTTGGTAAAGGAGGTTTTGTGGGTGAGGGGCTTGGACTTCCAGCTAGCGTGCGTGAGCGTGTTAGATAGGAGTGAATGGAGACGAATGGTATTTGGGACCTGACGAGCTATTGGAGTGAGCAGGGTAATATTTAGTCAAGGGATTCAGGGAAACCGGCTATTTTATATAGCTGGACTTGAGTCCTGGAATTGGGAAATACAATGCCTGCACTTTAAAGGAGTGGTTTGGGATATTGGCAGTTTGGAGGGATATGTTGTGTATCTTTATACGTATATGCTTCTAAACTGTTGTACCTCTCAGTACCTCTGCAAAAACAGTGATTATGTGTGAGTGAGGTGAAAGTGTTAAATGATGATGAAAGTATTTTCTTTTTGGGGATTTTCTTTCTTTTTGGGTCACCCTGCCTTGGTGGGAGACGGCTGACTTGTTAAAAAAATGTATATGTATATATATATACATACACACTCACAGATACATACTTATATACATACACACCCCTCTGGATTTTCTTCTATTTTCTTACTAGTTCTTGTTCTTGTTTATTATCTCCTTGGAGAAGCAGAATAGAATTCTTCCTCTGTAAGCCATGTGTGTTGTAAGAGGCGACTAACATGCCAGGAGCAAGGGGCTAGTAACCCCTTCTCCTGTGTACATTACTAAAGTTAAAAAGAGAAACTTTTGTTTTTCTTTTTGGGCCACCCTGCCTTGGTGGGGTGCAGCTGGTTTGTTGAAAGAAGATCTTTTCTTTAGGCTTAGCTGTATTGAGCACTTAACATGCTTACATTATCATATATTATCAGGTGTTTTATATGCATTCATTAGTGGAAAAATCCACCATGTTCCATTTACCAGCAGTTTTCACTTATCGGCTGGGGTCGGGTATCTAACCACTGAAAAAACAGGGCCCTCCTCTATATGTAAAATGTATGAAATCGATTTATTTATTTGTCTTTGCAAATAGTACAAATATAAATACCTTCTAAAAGTATAGATGTATAGTTGTGAATATAGTACGTACTGTTCATGCTTTCCATAAGCATTCACTAGTTGTAGATGTAGTTATTACTTGGGACTAAGTATACAGTATATACTAGTAATTATAGATTGTAGTTTTTGTATATTATACAGTACTGCACTTTATATATGATACTCTTAACTACAGTGTTTTGTATGTAGTACACTATAAAAGTATACAGTAGGACTAAAATATGAAAAAAATAAGTCGCCATACTGTGGCTGAAACAATTCACTACTTGCAATGAGAGAAGACCAGTGACTTTGCAGTGGTCAAGACTGGACTGCAACACTGTCTGAAGCTGCTTCTCCAAGTGGGTTACTTGTGAACTGTACTTCAGTATATGTACAGTAATTATTATGAATTGCACTTTATGTATTGCTACTAATACAGTGTGACTAGTTAATGGTCCAAGTCAGACTGAAACATTGTCATAAGTTTCTTTCTCTTATGTACAAGTTATTTGTGTATTGTTCCATTCACGGTATTGTGCCTTTTTTTGTTCTTTATTGCTACTTAGTTTTAATTAACATGCTAATTTTTTAAGAATTAGCCTTTAAATTTTCATTTATTCTCTTTTAACTTCAAGTTTTTCTAAAATTTTAATTTTTTTCCTTGCAGTATATTTTAACTAATATTTGCTTATAGTATAGTGTATTTTAAATGTCACTATGATTGTCACACATTGTGCAGACACAGTATGCTAATGTAATACTTTTCAAATACACATTGAAGATTGAGACACGCCTTCCTCTTTGTATTGGACTGATGAAGCCACTGTGTGACGAAACGTTTCCTGAATAAAGATTCCCATATGCTGCATAAGTGTCTCAATCTTCAACTTGTTGGTTTTTCAAACCATTCATCACAAATACACATTAGCAATAAATTTGCCAAAAATGTTTTAATATTTTACTTTAGGAATAATTTTACTGAAAAGACTGAATTTAATATGTAGCTTTCAGTTTATCTACAATGCTTTCTGAATTTTTAGAAGAACAATATCTGTAATTGTACAAGAGTTGCATTAACCTTACCACTTCCTCTTTCATATGTATACAGGATGCAACACTGGAATTGGGTTTGAGATAGCTGTAGCTGTGGCTAAGAGGGGTGGCATCCTGCATATGGTGTGTCGCAACGAAGCCTCGGCCAAGACAGCACGCTCGGAGATCATCACCACCACTGGCAATGATGTACGATTAAATTCTGGCTCTCATTATATACTGTACTTTTTTTTTTTTTGTATGACTAGTCTGTTATTTCTTTGTTTCTGTCAGTGCTTCCTCTTCCCATATTGAAGGCTTCTTTTTAACATGTATTTTACAAGCTAAGAGCTGTTATCTTACCTTGGCTCATTTCTAAACCTATCCTTGTCTAAGGTATACTGCTTCCTCCTCAGGATATTACCCATGGTACCTACAGGTACCTGGGATATTACCCAAGTACCTATTTACTGCTAGGTAAACACGAGCAGAAAGTGTAAGATGGCTTACTCGTACATTGTATTCTGCCTGGGAATCAAACCAGGGTCCCTTGAGTTGAGTCTTTGTTGTATATTCCAGGTTCAAAGTTTAATCTTATGAGTTTCATCCATTTATTGTTACAGTATACTCCAGTATACTGTATACTGCTGTTAATAATGTTCCTTCATAATTCTCTTGGTGATGCTGCTATTTGCTCTTTTGTGTGTTGTTGTGGTATACTAATATGTAGGACAAAGTTACATGGTTTAGTAGATTTAACTTCTTGCACTGAAATTAAAGTTGCATAGAATGAGATGTACCTGAAGGGTGCCTACTCAGCACTACCGTATCTTTAATCATTATTGATGGACGCTTCTTGGTTATCCCCTTGTGGCGTGTAGTCTTCTTTATGACGTGGACAATTTTGCCATAGTTCTGATGTGGATATTCAGATTGTGACTGCAGTGGAGTGGCTTGCTTCCAATTCTATTTTAGTTTGGTTCTCTTCATATTGTTTCTTGCTCTATCCGAGCCATGTTTCATTATTTTCTCATGAAATTTTATTCTCTTGCTATTCCTGTTTGGTTTTCATATTAGATCTTGCCAAATTTTAATTTCTGAGCCCTTTATTGAAAAACATCTCCAGTGCTCCATAAATTTTAAAACTTCTTTCCACTCACCTATTAGCTCAACCTCTCCCCACCAATATGTCAGCACCCATCTACCAGTGTTGTTGCCTGTGCCACCCACCTTCTATATATCTTTTATCATTAACTGACTCTCTCCACTATTTTCAGAAAATCTACCTTCACTGTGTGGATTTGTCGCGGCCGAGGGAGGTGACTATGTGGGCTGCCAAGTTTGCTGCTCAGCAAGAACAAATCCACGTTCTTGTCAACAATGCGAGTTGCCTTCTGAATGAGCGGCACTTGGATGAGGATGGCTGTGAGATAGACGTCAGTTTTGCTGTCAACACACTCTCCCCCTACATCCTAACAGTCAACCTCCTGCCCGTCCTCCAAAGGTACGAGCCTAGGAATATGTCATTATCTGTCTTGGACTTTTGTTTCTGAATATGTAGAAATTTTCAAGAGGAAACTGGATCATTACCTCCTTCACATAGCAGATAAGCAAGGCTGTGATGGATATGTGGGCCAGTAGGCCACTAATGGCACCAACAACCTGATTGACCATGCAGTTAACAGGGAAGGCTGGCTTTGTGCTGCACTCTGTGGGGAGAGCACTGACAGCTGGTCGCAGGTATGTTTATCTCTGCTGTTCATCTGCCAGTTTTTCTACCATTTAACTCGACAAAAGACGTATAACATGCACTAATTGGATATTCATTTCTCTTGTACTCATTGTAACTCCTAAATTTATTTTTTCAACCATTTATGAGACTATATAAAAGCACTCAATTAGTCATTGCCTTGTTAATCTTAAGATAGTCTTCAGAGTGCCCTAAATGCTTTGCATATACCTGGAGAGGGTTTCAGGGGTCAACACCCCCATGGCTCGGTCTGAGACCAGGCCTTGTGGTGGATCAGGGTCTGATCAACCAGGCTGTTACTGCTGGCCGCACGCAAACTGATGTACAAACCACATCCCGGCTGGTCAGGTACTGACTTAGGTGCCTGTTCAGTGCCTTCTTGAAGACAGCCAGGGGTCTATTGGTAATCCTCCTTATGAATGCTGGGAGGTAGTTGAACAGTCTTGGGCCCCTGACACTTACTGTGTTGTCTCTTGGTGTACTCGTGGCACCTCTGCTTTTCATTGGGGGAATGTTGCATCTACTACCGAGTCTTTTGCTTTCATAGGGAGTGATTGTCATGTGCAAAGTTTGGTACTAATTCCTCTAGTATTTTCCAAGTGTGTATTATCATGTATCTCTCTCGCCTGCATTCCAGGGAATACAAATCAAGGGACTTCAACTGTTCCCAGTAATTTAGGTGCCTTATGGTATACTTATGTGTGCCATGAAAGTTCTTAGTACACTCTCCAAGTCAGTAATTTCGCCTGCCTTGAAGGGGGCAGTTAGTGTACAGCAGTATTTCAGCCTATAGAGAACAAGCGATTTGAAGAGAATCATTATGGGCTTGGCATCCCTAGTTTTGAAGGTTCTCCTTATCCATCCTATCATTTTCCTAGCAGATGTGGTAGATACATTGTTGTGGTCTTCGAAGGCGAGATCCTCTGACATTCACTTCCAGGTCCTTCACATTACTTTTTCAGTCTATTGTATGGTTAGAATTTGTTGTATACCCTGATAGTTTTAATTTCCTCAAGTTTTCCGTATCTGGGTATACGTAGTTGAAACTTCTCTTCATTGAACTTCATTTTGTTTTGAGTGGCCCATTTGAAGATTTGGTTTATGCCCGCTTAGTCTTGTGGTGTCTTTGATGGAGGTCACTGTCATGGCAGTTCGGGTGTCATCCGCAAAAGAAGACACAGCTATGGCTTACATCCGTCCCTTGTAGGTTTAGTGCTTTTTTTTTTATAATAATATGGCATACACCTCTGTGTGTCAGATATGAGGAATAGGATGGGAGCAAGTGCTGTGCCTTGTGGAACAGAGCTTGTCACCATAGCTGCCTTGGACTTTACTCTGTTTACTATTATTCTTTGTGTTCTATTTGTCAGGAAGTTATAGATCTGTCTGCCAACTTTTCCTGTTATACCTTTTCACGCATTTTGTGCACTATTACACCATGGCCACACTTGTCAAAGGCTTTTGCAAAGTCTGTGTATACTACATCTGCATTGTTTATCCTCTACAGGGGCTTTCTGCATACACACCTAAATATCATTCACCTCTGTACAAACATTGTGTCATGCTGAAATAAAAAAAAATTCTTAATCTTACTGTAACTTAATTAGCCCAGTCCCTGGACCCATTATGTGTGCCTGTAATCTTTTGACCACTCTCAGAATGGGTCTGTGGTAACATTCACCATAGGATGGATGCAGGGTTTCTGCTGCTCACAGGATGGGTATGTAGCATCTACTATTTACAGGTAGGATATTGGGTGACTATCATCCACACGATGGCTGTGGAAGGCACAATAAAGCTATCCACCTAATTGGATGTTTCTTTATATGACAGAAGTGAGGATGCCCGTGTGATTAATGTTTCCTCGGCTGGGATGCTGTGTGTACGACTGGACCCTCATGACTTGATGCACACACAGATTAATCCTTACGATGGTCAACTCTTCTACTTCCAGAGCAAACGTCGACAGGTAAGTCCACACTTTTTGTGGGATGTTCTTCCTTGATAATTTCACATTGATGTGAAACATTGAAACCAATATTTAACAAGACTAAAAATCAGTAGCAGTTTGGAGGGATATGTTGTGTATCTTTATACGTATATGCTTCTAAACTGTTGTGTTCTGAGCACCTCTGCAAAAACAGTGATTATGTGTGAGTGAGGTGAAAGTGTTGAATGATGATGAAAGTATTTTCTTTTTGGGGATTTTCTTTCTTTTTTGGGTCAACCTGCCTCGGTGGGAGACGGCCGACTTGTTGGAAAAAAAAAAAAAAAATTGGTCATGTCATCTGTCAGATTTCTGCTGCTGGTTTTGTCTTGTTAAACAGCATTTTTTTTTTTTGGGGGGGGGGGGGGGGGGGAGGGGGGTTTGGGGAGTATATTTGTGAAGCTGCACTCTAGGTAATTAATACACCAACCATTCCAAATTTATATCCTTGTATGCTTTTAACATCTGTCTTGATTCCATCAGTTCTAGTTGCTTCACCCCTTTTCATTCCACCCATCACCTCACACACTTCTCCGTGCTCATTTCTGGATCTTTACTCCTTTGAGATATTATTCCTCCTTGCCCAATGCTTAAAATCACTGCCTTATTAATCTACCCCCATATACCTCTTCAATCTCATTTTTTTTTTCAACAAACTGGCCATATGCCACCAAGGCAGGGTGACCTAAAAAGAAAAAAGTTTTCCCCTTAAATTTGGTAATTTATACAGGAGAAGGGGTTACTTGCCCATTGCTCCTGGCATTTTAGTTGCCTCTTACAATATGCATGGCCTACAGAGGAAGAATTCTTGTCCCACTTTCCCATGGAGATTTTTTTTTTTTTTCAACAAACCGGCCATATCCCACCAAGGCAGGGTGGCCCAAAAAGAAAAACGAAAGTTTCTCTTTTTAAATTTAGTGATTTATACAGGAGAAGGGGTAACTAGCCCCTTGCTCCCAGCATTTTAGTTGACTCTTACAACACGCATGGCTTATGGAGGAAGAATCTGTTCCACTTCCCCATGGAGATAAGAGGAAATGAAAAAGAACTATCAAGAAAATAGAAGAAAACCCAGATAGGTGTGTAAATATATGTGAGTGTTCATGCATGTGTAGTGTGACCTAAGTGTAAGTAGAAGCAGCAAGATATACCCATTATGAGACAGAAAAAAACACCAGCAATCCTACCATCATATAAAACAATCACAGGTTTCTGTTTCGTACTCACTTGGCATGATGGTCATATCTCCCTGGATAGTTGCTGTCTACCAACTTACTACCTAGGCCTCATCACTTATCTTTCCTAAGTTGTTACACCTGTAGTTCATTCATTTGCACTTCTCTCTTACCTATTAATACCATTTTCCTTGTACTTCATCTACTCTTACTGTAGCTACCACTAAATAATGAACTGACATCTGTCACTTATCTAGAAAGATAAACATCCAGAAGTCTGCCTCAACCTTTTTAATCAAAATGCCCACTTTGTCATTAGTTACCTTTCTTGTTGAAAGTGTGATTATATTTAACTTCACAAGAAGTCCTACACAATACTATGCCTAGTTTTTAAGTAGTTTGTAAGCCTTATGATTAGTTGCCTGATATGTATAGCTTAATTAGTGGCTTTCTTTTGTGCCTACTATTTTACTCATGTTGCCTGTAACTCGTGATCCCTGAAACCCTCTCCAGGTATACCCATGAATCTAAATATCTGTATGCTCAAAGAAATAAAGCATTATTATCAGTCACATATAAGGCTAAAAATGGATTTGAAAGCATATATAAGGAATATCTCTTAACGCTGAGCAAGGGGCTAGTAACCCCTCCTGTATACATTACTAAAGTTAAAAAGAGATACTTGTTTTTCTTTTTGGGCCACCCTGCTTGAGTGGGATATGGCCGGTTTGTTGAAAGAAGATCTCTTAACACTAACTGGAAGACAGGCCATAGTTATTAACTAACCAAGATATTCATGGTCTTCACAAACAGTTTTTGTGTATTGTATTAAATTTCTTGAAGCACTTCCTTCAGTGCCAACAATATTGGAGGTTTGGTCCTCCATCCATTGGACATAGACTAATCTCTGACCTCTCGTATTGATGTATAACAAGAACCAGTAAGTTCTACAAGCACTGGTAATTAAAACAATTATTTTAGAGATTATATATTTAAAAAATGGGACATCATGAGCATTATAGGTATGGTAAGTGCTTAATTTTCTTCATGCAAACTTTAATCAAACTTTGTTTCCATTATACTTTTGTGCAAAGGTTGCAATGACATTGTGGTTTGCTCAGAGGTATGACAAAGTGCACTTCTCCTCTATGCACCCTGGCTGGGTTGACACTCCTACCATGAAGAACTCCGTACCTCAGATCTATGAAACGGTAAGTAGCACAAATTTATTTTTCACATCAGGTACCTCTAATCAGAGTAAGGTGATTAAACAGTCTGTTCAAGCACAGTATGACCCTTATGGGTTTAGTAATTCCCTGTGAATAAAATAATTTTAATCTGCTCCTTCATTTCTCCCACTGGGTGTCAACATAGATTCTTAATTGTCATTTGTTGAAAGTATCAACCAATTTGTTAAATCTTGAAATTTTCCTATTTGTAATCTCTGCAGTCAGAAAATATTTTAATAAATAGTATTTTGGTTTTTATTCAGTTTTTTTCCTCCTAAATTGATTTTTGCAATTTTTTTGTGGATTTGCCTAATTGCTTGTTTAAAAAAAAACTTCAGTCTCTACTGAATCATGCAGGTAGATGGGCATTTACCCTTCCAACTAGGGTCCCTCTAGTCCCTACTTGTATAAGTTACATTTGCTCCCTTTCAAGGCAAGAAATGAATTTAAACTCAGTTCGTTCTTTAAAGTTTAGTGAACTCTTGTATCTTGCTGATATGCTCGTACCCGTTACATCAGGCTCGGGAATGTTTCCGAGAAGTAAATTAATCTGACCCTTTTTAAACCGATTGAGCCTGTGCTGTTAGGGAGAAATTATAATCAGAGTGAACTTTCTTTTGTATGTAGATCCTAGATTGTTCAGTAGGTTGCCACTGTTTGTTGAGAGTCAGGAATCTGTTCATGCTTTCAAGTCTTAGTTGAACACACCTCTCTTCTAGAGCTTATGATCCTGATGATCAGACTGTCACTCTTTCTTCTTCGTTGTTGTTACATTTGTGTTGGTGTGCAAGCATCTGTGAATTTCTTGAAAGAATAGGTGTTTTTATGATGTTTAGGGGAGAAGCACTTAACATGTTGGGATGATAGTGCCTGATGAAATGGGTAACAATCAGGTTTGATCCAAGAGCCCCACTCAGTAGTTTCAGGAACCTTCCTTGAAGAGAATTATTAAATCAGTAAAGTTGCTAATATACTTAAAATCAACCAGTAATAATGTATAAAACCACTGCTACCCTATACCATACTTGTTTTCTTGGTGCAGATGAAGGAGAACCTGCGATCACCGAGCGAGGGTGCTGACACTGCTGTCTGGCTCGCCATCTCAAAGGCTGCCCTCAACCACCCTAGTGGTCTTTTCTTCCAAGGTACACCACAGTTGCTTGTTGTAGAGACTTACCTTGATGCTTCTTTTCTGAGGCTCTAAAGATAAGCTTTAATCAGGTTAACTACACTTGATGTTACAAACAGAATTATAAAAATTTTTTTTTTTTTTTTTTTTTTTTTTTTTTTTTTTTTTTTCCAACAAGTCGGCCGTCTCCCACCGAGGCAGGGTGACCCAAAAAAGAAAGAAAATCCCCAAAAAGAAAATACTTTCATCATCATTCAACACTTTCACCACACTCGCACATTATCACTGTTTTTGCAGAGGTGCTCAGAATACAACAGTCTAGAAGCATACACATATAAAGATACACAACATATCCCTCCAAACTGCCAATATCCCAAACCCCTCCTTTAAAGTGCAGGCATTGTACTTCCCATTTCCAGGACTCAAGTCCGACTGTATGAAAATAACCGGTTTCCCTGAATCCCTTCACTAAATATTACCCTGCTCACACTCCAACAGATCGTCAGGTCCCAAGTACCATTCGTCTCCATTCACTCCTATCTAACACGCTCATGCACGCTTGCTGGAAGTCCAAGCCCCTTACCCACAAAACCTCCTTTACCCCCTCTCTCCAACCCTTTCGAGGACGACCCCTACCCCGCCTTCCTTCCCCTATAGATTTATATGCTTTCCATGTCATTCTACTTTGATCCATTCTCTCTAAATGACCAAACCACCTCAACAAACCCTCTTCTGCCCTCTGACTAATACTTTTATTAACTCCACACCTTCTCCTAATTTCCACACTCCGAATTTTCTGCATAATATTTACACCACACATTGCCCTTAAACAGGACATCTCCACTGCCTCCAACCGTCTCCTCGCTGCTGCATTTACCACCCAAGCTTCACACCCATATAAGAGTGTTGGTACTACTATACTTTCATACATTCCCTTCTTTGCCTCCATAGATAACGTTTTTTGACTCCACATATACCTCAACGCACCACTCACCTTTTTTCCCTCATCAATTCTATGATTAACCTCATCCTTCATAAATCCATCCGCCGACACGTCAACTCCCAAGTATCTGAAAACATTCACTTCTTCCATACTCCTCCTCCCCAATTTGATATCCAGTTTTTCTTTATCTAAATCATTTGACACCCTCATCACCTTACTCTTTTCTATGTTCACTTTCAACTTTCTACCTTTACACACATTCCCAAACTCATCCACTAACCTTTGCAATTTTTCTTTAGAATCTCCCATAAGCACAGTATCATCAGCAAAAAGTAACTGTGTCAATTCCCATTTTGAATTTGATTCCCCATAATTTAATCCCACCCCTCTCCCAAACACCCTAGCATTTACTTCCTTAACAACCCCATCTATAAATATATTAAACAACCATGGTGACATTACACATCCCTGTCTAAGACCTACTTTTACCGGGAAATAGTCTCCCTCTCTTCTACACACCCTAACCTGAGCCTCACTATCTTCATAAAAACTCTTTACAGCATTTAATAACTTACCACCTATTCCATATACTTGCAACATCTGCCACATTGCTCCTCTATCCACTCTATCATATGCCTTTTCTAAATCCATAAATGCAATAAAAACTTCCCTACCTTTATCTAAATATTGTTCACATATATGCTTCAATGTAAACACTTGATCTACACATCCTCTACCCACTCTGAAACCTCCTTGCTCATCCGCAATCCTACATTCTGTCTTACCTCTAATTCTTTCAATTATAACCCTACCGTACACTTTTCCTGGTATACTCAGTAAGCTTATTCCTCTATAATTTTTACAGTCTCTTTTGTCCCCTTTCCCTTTATATAAAGGGACTATACATGCTCTCCACCAATCCCGAGGTACCTTCCCCTCTTTCATACATTTATTAAACAAAAGTACCAACCACTCCAACACTATATCCCCCCCTGCTTTTAACATTTCTGTCATGATCCCATCAGTACCAGCTGCTTTACCCCCTTTCATTTTACGTAATGCCTCACGTACCTCCCCCACACTTACATTCTGCTCTTCTTCACTCCTAAAAGATGGTATACCTCCCTGACCAGTGCATGAAATTACTGCCTCTGTTTCTTCCTTAACATTTAAAAGTTCCTCAAAATATTCTCGCCATCTACCTAATACCTCCATCTCCCCATCTACTAACTCCCCTACTCTGTTTTTAACTGACAAATCCATATTTTCCCTTGGCTTTCTTAACTTGTTTAACTCACTCCAAAATTTTTTCTTATTTTCATTAAAATTTCTTGACAGTGCCTCTCCCACTCTATCATCTGCTCTCCTTTTGCACTCTCACCACTCTCTTTACCTTTCTTTTACTCTCCATATATTCTGCTCTTCTTATAACACTTCTGCTTTGTAAAAACCTCTCATAAGCTACCTTTTTCTCTTTTATCACACCCTTTACTTCATCATTCCACCAATCACTCCTCTTTCCTCCTGCACCCACCCTTCTATAACCACAAACTTCTGCCCCACGTTCTAATACTGCATTTTTAAAACTATTCCAACCCTCTTCAACCCCCCCATTACTCATCTTTGCACTATCCCACCTTTCTGCCAATAGTCGCTTATATCTCACCCGAACTTCCTCCTCCCTTAGTTTATATACTTTCACCTCCCTCTTACTTGTTGTTGCCACCTTCCTCTTTTCCCATCTACCTCTTACTCTAACTGTAGCTACAACTAAATAATGATCCGATATATCAGTTGCCCCTCTATAAACATGTACATCCTGGAGCCTACCCATCAACCTTTTATCCACCAATACATAATCTAATAAACTACTTTCATTACATGCTACATCATACCTTGTATATTTATTTATCCTCTTTTTCATAAAATATGTATTACTTATTACCAAATTTCTTTCTACACATAGCTCAATTAAAGGCTCCCCATTTACATTTACCCCTGGCACCCCAAATTTACCTACTACTCCCTCCATAACATTTTTACCCACTTTAGCATTGAAATCCCCAACCACCATTACTCTCACACTTGATTCAAAACTCCCCACGCATTCACTCAACATTTCCCAAAATCTCTCTCTCTCCTCTACACTTCTCTCTTCTCCAGGTGCATACACGCTTATTATAACCCACTTTTCACATCCAATCTTTATTTTACTCCACATAATCCTTGAATTAATACATTTATAGTCCCTCTTTTCCTGCCATAGCTTATCCTTCAACATTATTGCTACTCCTTCTTTAGCTCTAACTCTATTTGAAACCCCTGACCTAATCCCATTTATTCCTCTCCACTGAAACTCTCCCACCCCCTTCAGCTTTGTTTCACTTAAAGCCAGGACATCCAGCTTCTTCTCATTCATAACATCCACAATCATCTCTTTCTTATCATCTGCACAACATCCACGCACATTCAGACTTCCCACTTTGACAATTTTCTTCTTCTTATTCTTTTTAGTAATCTTACAGGAAAAGGGGTTACTAGCCCATTGTTCCCGGCATTTTAGTTGACTTTTACAACACGCATGGCTTACGGAGGAAAGATTCTTATTCCACTTCCCCATGGATATAAAAGGAAAATTAATAAGACCAAGAACTATTAAGATAAAATCAAAGAAAACTCAGATGAGTGTGTATAAATAAATGTGTACATGTATGTGTAGTGTGACCTAAGTGTAAGTAGAAGTAGCAAGACATGCCTGTAATCTTGCATATTTATGAGACAGACAAAAGACATCAGCAATCCTACCATCATGTAAAACAATCACAGGCTTTCGTTTTACACTCACTTGGCAGGACGGTAGTACCTCCCTGGGTGGTTGCTGTCTACCAACCTACTCCCTTTAAAAATTATACAATGATTTAAATAAGTATGGTACATAGTGGACATTAAAGGCAGCTGTGTAATTTGTCAGTATTGCCCCACCATTCCTTGTTGTCTTTGTGTTTCCAGTTCCTTGGAGCTCCTTGTTACCCAGGGGCAGCATAGACCCAAGGGAAACATGGAGCCTTTTGGGCTGTGTACTGCCTTAGGTTCCATGTTGATATGGTGTTCTTTTCTGTCCTGGGGCTCCAAATTGCCCCAAGTGTGTTGTCTCTTCATTCTCTTTCCTGTTCTGTAGTTTTTCTTTTTCAGCCACTAGGGCTGTTTCCTGATACTACTACAGATATAAAACAAATTATGCCAAAGATAACCTTCAAAGTAATTTGTGTTCTTAAAGTTATCAACTAAACCTAGAAGCCATGCATTTCTTTTAATTTTTTTTTAAATATGAGGCTACATTACTGTATAAATATATTATTCTTTTTAAAATTTTAACAGTTCAAGATCATTTTATTAAGGTTTATTCTCTGTCCTTGAGTGTCTTGTTCCTTCTGACATCTTTCTTTGATGGGCAACCTCATGAAGGATTAAGAAAGTGTATTGCTGTATTTATGCTTGTCATTTGTTTTCAGACAGAGTTCCAGTCCCAACCCACCTGCCTCTTGCCTGGACAAAATCATCCATAGAAGAGGAAAACCTTCTCATGGAAAACATTGAAGCATTGCGTTTGAAGGTATTGGGTGTCATTAGTGCGTTGGTAGCATTACCAAAGCAAGTAGCACAAGCTGCTCCTGCTGACACTAAAAAAACTTCTCTGATTGAACCAAAAACAAGTGTAGAGGAAGATTTAGCTGGAGAACTTACTAAGACGGCCATTACTGAAAAGCCAGTTGCTGAGCCAGAGGATGTTGTCAGGAAGACAGTGCTAGCTGCCCCAGCACCTTCTCTAGAGATGTCATCTCCCAAAGAATTAGGTGCTTCAGCAGTGTCTCATGAAATGCCAGTTGAAAAATCGCTCTTAGACCACCAGGTGGAAGAAGTTGTCATTCTTGAAAAAGATGGATTAGAAAAAGAGCTAGATGCTGCATCAGCAGGACCCACTATGGAGAGGGCTACCCTTCCTGAGCCCCTTAAAGTACAGCAGAAAGAGTTTGATGCTGACTCAGCAGGATCTAAAGTAGAGAATGTTCCTCTTCTTGAGTCATCTGAAGTGCAGCAGTCAGTTACCATTGAATCCCTGTCAGCTAGTGTAAAAGCTCAGGTAAATGAAGTTGAAACAATCAGCACACCCTCATCTGAGGCTGACATGGAGAAGTTATCCAGTATAGAGGTTAGTAAAATTAGAAGTTGCTATAAATATTTTACACTCAGTAGTATAAATTTGTACAATGATTTTTGAGGATATGTAGATGTTTTAGCCAAACAACAATGGCACATATGCTTTAAGTTATGACATAATAATGAGATGATTTGGACATATAGAGAGGATGGAACAAAATAAAATGACTTCGAGAGTGTATAAATCTGTAGTGGAGGGAAGGTGGGGGTAGGGGTTGGCCTAGGATAAGTTGGAGGGAGGGGGTAAAGGAGGTTTTGTGTGTGAGGGGCTTGGACTTCCAGCAAGCATGCATGAGCATGTTAGATAGGAGCAAATGGAGATGAATGGTTTTTAGGACTTGACGTGCTATTGGAGTGTAAGCAAGGTAACATTTATGAAGGATTCAGGGAAACTGGCAGGCCGGACTTGATTTCTGGAGAAGTACAGTGCTGGCACTCTGAAGGAGGGGTATTAATGTTGCAGTTTTATAACTGTAGTGTAAGCATGCTTCTGGCAAGACATTGGTGGAGTGAATGATGAAAGTTTATTTTTCGGGCCACCCTACCTTGGTGGGAAACGGCTGATGTGTTAATGAAAAAAAAAATAATTAGGAATTAGATTTTTACAAAGCAGAAGTAATATCAGGAGACTGGAATATATGGAGAGATTGAGAATGATAAGGGATTGTAAAAGGAGGGCAAATAAGAGTGGGTAAGGTTTTGTCAACAAATTTTGCTGAAAATAAGACAAAAAAATTTGGGGTGAGAGTAATAAGTTGAGACTGTGCCTAGGAAACAAATGAATTTCACAGTTAAAAGCAAAAGAGGGAAGTTATTAGATGGGGAGGTGGAGATATTGAGAAGACGGAAGAAATATTTTGAGCTGTTAAATGTTGACGAGAGGGAGGCAGGGATTTCATGTATTGTCCAGGGAGGTATAAATGTAAAAAGAAGAAAACTTTAGTTTTCCGTTTTGAGTCGCCCTGCCTTGGTGGAAGGTGGCTGGTGTGTTGAAAAAAAAATTTTACTTCATACTCTCCAGTCTGATATACAATCTTTCATTGCCTTCATTTTTTGTTAAACCATTTATGTAAAAAAGGAATACAGTATATTATACAGTTGGGGTGATTGCTATATTTATTTATATAGAAAGCCTCTTATAATGCAGAGCATTTTGGTTATGTATACAACTAACTTTGCTCTTTCCTATGTTTGCTCTTAATTTCCTGCTTTTACATGCCCTCCCAGATTCTTCCATCAGTCTTTGCAACTTTTCTTCAGAGTCTTCCAAAATAACTGTCGTTATCGAAAAGCACTTTGCATCAAATTCATTATCTTTTAATACTGTACCCTTGTGAGATTACAATGCCATTTACAAATGGGTTAAATAACCATGGTGACATCACTCATCCTTTTCAAAGGCCTACTTTTACTAGAAAATAATTCTCTCATACATACCCTAACCTGAACCTCTATCCACATAACTCTATTACTTTAAGTAACCTACCACCTGTTCCATAGATTTGCAAGATGTCACATTTCTTCCTTGTCCACCTTATCATATGCCTTTTCTAAATCCATAAATGCATCAGAATGTTCCTTTTATCTAAATACAGTGGTACCTCAGGATACAAACCTAATTTGTTCCAAAAAGCTGTTTGAGTGCCGATCTGTTCGAGTACCGAACAAATTTGTTCTCATAAGGAATAATGTAAAGTAGATTAATCCATTTCAGACCCCAAAAATACACTTACAGAAGCACTTACAAAAATACACTTACATAATTGTTCAAGTTCATATCCGGAGGTACTACTGTATTGTACACTTGTGTTTCAATGTAAAATTACTTGTATTTTCTTTTTAACACGTCAGCCATTTCCCACCGAGGCAGGGTGACCCAAAAAGAAAGAAAACCCAAAAAGAAATAAAAACTTTTGGCATCATTCAACAACTTTCGCCATCATTCATACATAATCACTGTCTTTGCAGAGGCACTCAGATATGGCAGTTTAGATGTCACTCCAAACAGCCATTATTCCAAACCCCTCCTTTAAAGTGCAGGCATTGTACTTCCCACTTCAATGACTCATGTCCGGCTAACCGGTTTCCCTAAATCCCTTCACAAAATATACTACCCTACTTACACTCCACTTGTATTGTTATTGCCTTATTAATCTTAAGTTAGTCTAAGTTTGCCCGAAATGCTCTGCATATATAGGGGCTTTCAGCACGTATACTCAAATCTCATTTACCTTTGTACATTGTATCATGCTGAAATAAAGTATTACTATTAAACACTTACCCTACACATTCCCTACTCCTCCTAAAATCTTGTTCTTCTGTAATCCTGCTTGCACAGTTTGCCTGGCATACTAAACAGGCTTATTTCCCTGTAATTCTTTTTTTTTTTTTACCCTAGGTGTCATCCCCTTTCATGTATGTATTGAACAAATACATCAATCATTTCAAGACTGTATCCCTGTTTGCTTTTATATATCAGTCTTCATCCCAGTTGCTTTACCCCTTTCATTCTACCCACTGGCTCGTGCACTTTCACCACACTTGTATCTGGCTCTTCCTCATTTATACGGGGTGCTATACCTCCCTGCTCAGTGCACAAAAACTACCTCCATTTTTTCACCAACATTTAACAATTTTATTTCTGTGTCTATATATCTAGGATACAGATTATCCCTTACCCCACAAACTGACACAAATTTTCTTTCAGATTCCCAAATCTCAGCCATAACAGAGATTGAGATGCCACCTTTTGCAGTGTCTGCCTACAGAGAATGCAAACTTGAAACTAAGGAGTGAATTGGTTTGGTATTATGTGCAGCTCATCAATGAGGTGATAACTAGTATCTTTATTCATGAATACTTCTAGTCCTGTTGCTGATTACATACAGTTATATCCACTGGTTACCTAAAGAGAAAAGTCCAGTATTTTAACACTTTAGATATGACTGAGGTATCAGTAGCCACAAAGCAGCAAATATATTTAGTGACTGAGAACAATTTGGGTTATCTGAAGCAACATCTGCTCTTTCTAGTGATGTTACTTCACTTTAGACTTGTATAACATATTAGTCTATAAAATCTTGTTTACATTTGACAGCAATTGAGTAGGCAATGGTGATTATTTTTCTCATTGTTGTAGGTAATTGCCCATCTGGGCATTAATAGTGCTTTATCAGGCTCACCTAATTATTTGCATGCTTTCTCTCTCCCCTTTACTCCAGGTAAGACAACAGTTCAAAATCTTAAGATAGGTTAGATAAATATTTGAAATATAATATATGCAATTTAGTAAAGCTGTGTTAGGCTGCTAGATTAGTTTTAGTGAACAAAATTGATTGGCATACAAAAATTTGCAGAATTTAATTTTTATCTGGATCAGTGGTCAGGTGAGCCCTATACTGTATTACCATTTAGTAACCTTTATAATTATAAAAATAATTATTTGAGAAGATATAGTATTTTATAGAGGATATTTATTTTAATAATTTTACATAAGATAATCATCAGTGTGATGTACATTTTCATTGTATAAAGTTATTCCTTACACTATATTTTGTCTTTATTCATTGCCTTTATTCACAGCAGTATATGTATTATTACCTTGCCTGCTCTGGTGCTACACTCACACTGCACTACCCAGAGCTTCCACACTAGTTTTATATACCATGGCATTGGACAAGGCCTGGCTAAGGTTCATGAATGCTTTGATAATTGATTAGTACAGTGTAATGATTGCAAACAAAGCTATGTTTAACTTCAATTCATAAAAAAAAAAAATTTCTCATTCCCAAACACTAGGTAGAAAGTGTTGTACATCTTGAGTGTAAGCTTACTGAGAGTCATCCAAGTAGATAGCTTCACAAGTTAGTCATTAAGTGTTGAAGAAATTCAGATCTGGATAGATGACAAATGTTGTCAGCCACAAACAGAAGTGGTTCAAGTTGCTGATAAGCATTAGGAAGGTCATTGATGTAGATGAGGAATAATGAAGGGCCAAGGATACAGAAGCTTAGGTTAGGTATAAATATAAAAGAATCTTGAAGAATTGAGACACTTGTGCAACACATGGGAATCTTTATTGAAGAAACATTTCTTCAATAAAGATTCCCATGTGTTGCACAAGTGTCTCAATTCTTCAACTTGTCGGTTTTCAAAACCATTCACCACACATAAAAGAATCTTATAATATGCTATAATAAATCTGTATTTAATAATTTTCACAACATTTTCTTGATCTTTGTCAGAATACTCACTTTGAGATCATAGGCAATACTGAAAAACTTTATATATTTTTTTTTTTAAATCTTAAGCTTATAATAGCTCAGGGTTTGAGGCCAAAAAATGTTCTCCCAAAATTGCCACTTGACATTGTAGAATTATATCTGATCAATTTCTTACAAATGCACAAAATAAAAAAAAGTGTAATTTCTATTGAAAGTTAGATTAGGTAAAACAAAAGTCCACTAATATGCTAGAATTATCTATAATAACTTTTACTCCATTTTCTCAGTGTGTCAGAGGATACATGTAATTTTAAGTAATAATGAAAACTTAAATAAGCAGCCAGTATCCCAAACCCTCCTTTAAAGTGCAGACATTGTAATTCCCATGTTCAGGACTCAGGTCTGGCTAATTGGTTTCCCTGAATCCCATCCCAAAAACCATTCATCTCTATTCACTCGTATCTAACACTAGCCTGCTGCATGTCCAAGCCCCTTGTGCACAACCTCTTTTTACCCCATCCCTCCTTCCTTTCCTAGGATGACCCCTACTCCTCCCCTGCACTACAGCTTTATATGCCCTCAAAGTCATCCTATTTTGCTCCATCCTTTCTAAATGACTAAACCACTTGAACTCCTCTTCAGCCCTCTGAATAATACCTTTATTAACTCCACACCACCTAATTACCACTATGAAAACTCTGCATAATATTAACACCACACATTGCCCTTAGATATGACATAACTGCTTCCTGCCTCCTCCTCGCTGCAGCATTTACAACCCATGCTTCACACCCATATGAGTGTTGGTACTAATATACTCTTATACATTCCCTTCTTTGCCCTCATGGATAATGTTTTTTGTCTCCATAGATACCTCGATACACAACCCACCTTTATTCCTTCATCAATTCTGTGGTTTACCTTGTCCTTCATAAACCCATTTGCTGACAAGTTTAGTCCCAAATTTCTAAACACATTCACTTCTTCCAAAAATTATCTGTATTTAATCATATTCACTCCACTTTTTTAATCAGTATGTCAGAGTACAGGTGCTGTGATTTTAACAGTATAATCCAGGTACAACATCGATTTTCTGGACCTATGGTTCCATAGCCTTTCTGCCTTTAGAGAGCACAGTATTCCTTGGTCTTGGGGTTGGATAAGTATTTATTTATTTATTTATTTTTTATTAATTTGAACATGATACATTGAAGTACAAAAAAATACAGTGGTTAAGTGTAACATACCAAAGCCCCTTGTATGCAGAGCATTATGGGCAGGCTTAAAATTAACTTAAGATTAACTAAGCAATGATATATTCAGTGGTAAACATTATTGTAAACAGATAACAATTAATCACAAATAAGTATTTCAAAGACAGGTCATATGGTCATTTACTGTGTTGCTGTGCATCGAGTAGAATGGATTATTCTGTTAGGTATTGTAATTAAAATAACAAAGTTTGATTGGGTCACAGGTTAAACATTTGAGATACAATTACTGTATTCAGTATTTATTTAGTTGTGGGTGAGTAAGTGATTTTTAAATAGAGACTTGAATTTATAAACCGACAGTGTTTCTTTTATATTCACAGGTAATGAATTCCAGATTTTTGGGCCTTTTATGTTTATTGAGTTTTTTGCATAGTGTGAGATGGACACGAGGAACATCAAGGAGTGATCTGTGTCTTGTGTTATGGTCATGTGTTCTGTTGAGGTTGGTAAGGAGACTTTGAGGGGAGGGTTTATATCCGAGTTAAGTGTTCTATGTATGTAGTAGGTACAATAATAAGTATGGATGTTTCGTATGGTGAGTAGGTTTAGAGTTTTGAATATTGGTGGAGTGTGCTGCCTGTAGTGGGAATTTGTTGTTATTCTGACTGCAGCCTTTTGTTGGGTAATTAATGGTTTGAGATGGTTTATTTATTATGTTGAGCCCCATGCACAAATTCCATAGGTGAGATAGGGGTAAATAAGTGAGTGATATAGGGCCAGGAGGGCTGACTGTGAAACATAGTACCATATCTTCGATAGTATGCCTACAGTCTTGGAAATTTTCTTGGAAATTTGTTGTATATATGTTTGAAATTTGAGTCTATTATCAAGGTGGATTCCTAAGAATTTTCCCTCTGTGAGCTTTGTGATAGATGATCCGTTTATCATTATGTTAAGAGGGACATCTGTTGCTCTGTTACCAAACTGAATGAAGTAGGTTTTGTCAATGTAGAGAGTAAGTTAGTTAGTCCTCATCCAGGTAGATATTTTCTGTAATTCGGTATTCACAGTATTGGCTAGCATGACTGGGCTCGGGTGAGAGAATGAGAGAAGACATATGTAGTGTCATCTGCAAATAGTGTGGGTTTGAGTAGTTGCGATGCATTTGGTAGGTCATTTATGTAAACGAGAAAGAGAAGAGGGCCAAGGACACTTCCCTGTGGGACACCAACTGTAATTGGCTGTGCAGAAGAGTTTGCTCCATTTGTGTACACATGTTGGCTTCTGTTGAGGGAGTGCCCTCTTATACCATAGTGCAACAATTTTATGTGGAGCAAGTCATGGTCAACTGTATCAAAAGCTTTACGTAAATCAATGAAGATCCCCAGTGGGACTTTTTTTCTCTAGTGCAGTGTATATTTGTTCTAGCATGTGTATAATAGCATCATTCGTATTTTTATTAGGCCTGAACCCAAACTGACAGGGGTTGAGTATGTTGTGGGAGATGAGGTAGGAATAGATTCGCTTATGAATTAATTTTTTTGAAGATTTTTAGAGAGAGGGTGTAAGTTGGATATTGGCCTATAGTTATTCAAGTCTGTTTGGTCTCCTTTATGGATCGGGGTGACCCTCACTATTTTGAGAACTGTAGGGAAGGTAGAGGATTCGATGGATTTGTTGAAGAGTGTTGCAATGATTGGTGATAGCACTTGCGACGCTTTTTTGCATATATAAAGGGTGGTAAGGTATTTAAATCTCCTGTCTTGTTTTTTAGTGTGTTGATAATAAGGGAGACTTCTGTTGGGTTAGTCGGAGCTAGGAACAGTGTGTTCGGGTAGTTGCCAGTGAGGTAGTCATTGGGTGGGGAATTTGAGCTTGGGATTTTATTGGCAAGGTTTTTATCTATGGTGGAGAATTCATTGAGTCTGTTTGCTGTTTCATTTGGTGGGAGTTTGGGTTCATCTAGTTTTGTTAGTTCAATTGCGCTATTTCGTGATATCTTTTTTGTTCCTAGAATTTCTGATAGGGTTTTCCAGGTCTTTTTTATATCACCTTTTAAGTTGGATAATCTGTTCTCATAATACAATTTTTTAGCCCTTCTTATCAGGCTGGTTAGGATTGACGAATAACATTTTGTTTGGTCTCTGGTTATGTGACCCATTCTGTACTGTTTTTCATATTGGTGCTTTGTATTTATGGATTTGAGGATGCTGGGTGTTAGCCAGGGACTGTTCAGTTTGGTGGTAAATACATTGCTGCAGGAATTTCAAGTTCCTGGTCGTAAATTTGTGTGGTTCTGGACCATCAGTGTCCGGAAAATCAATGTAGTATCTATACTAGTTTTTCCAGTGTACATAGTTGCAGAAGTTGGATGACATCAAATAATATAATATCTTTATTTCTACAAGTAGTATATGTAAAAAGTATACAGGCCTAACTGACATCAATAATATTATATAGAAAGCTGCTTGTTATGCAGAGCATTTTGGGCAAATTAGGTCAGTTTTGTCCCAGGATGCAACCCACACCAGTTGACTAACACCCAGGTACTCATTTTACTGATGGGGAACGGACAACTGGTGTAAAGAAACACGCCCAGTGTTTCTACCCTCTCTGGGAATGGAACCCAGCCCTTCACCATGTGAAGCAAGAGCTTTAGCCACCAGGCTATGGGGCACCCTGGTTAACCTTTTCACTTTCAGTGACATATAGGTATGGCTTACATGCCAGTGTTGGTGACGTATTAATACCCCAAAATTCTAGCGGCTTCAGATCTAGCAGGAGAAAGTTGGTAGACCTACATGTGAGAGAATAGGTCTACCTGGTCAGTGTGCGCAGTATAAAAAAATCCTGAAGCATGCAGTGCATAATGAGAAAAAAACCCAATGTTTTTGGATTAAAATGCCACCTTTGAGGTGTATTTTTGTATGGTATTTATGGTTGTATTCTCATTTCCTTGGTCTCGTTTGATAGAATAGAAGACATATCACAGAAATAGAAATTATTTTGATTGGTTTCATGATGAAAAGTACCTTGAAATTGAGCTCAAAGTAGAGGAAATGTTTGATTTTTGCCAATGTTCAAGAGTAAATAAATGACATCACCGTCCAATACGTGTCCAATGGCCACTAATACGCAGTCAAAAATGAGTTGACATTATTTATAATTATATAATGATGCAGTAGTCTGGAAAGCAAGAGGGGTCTGGAGGCATGACTAATGAACAGAGAAAATGTTATTTTAGTGCAAGGAATGTCTGGATTTTTATTCTGGACCCTATTTTGAAATTGGCCAAATTGCCAATTTCTGACCACTTTATTGGGTAGCTGAAATTAGTAAATGGGTGGTTTCTCGTACTCAATCAATAGAGCAAATGGCGTTCTAGAGAAATAGCTATGAGTTTGGTGGACTGCAACAATGGAATTGGCTGAAAATAGGGCTCAAAGTGGGCGAAATCACCGATGCATATATATCGCTGAGACTGCTAACTTCGCGAGAGCGTAATTCCTTAAGTTTTCCATCAAATTTCTTACTTTTGGTGTCATTGCCATCGGGAAAAGATTCTCTATCATTTCATATTTTTTTTTTTTTAAATTCTTCGACACCGAGTGCGAGTTCAGAATCAGGGGTCTCGACAGTGAAAGGGTTAAGCAGATCATTTCAGGCAAGTAATATTGAAAATTTAAAGAAAAAAAAAAAAAAATTCCTGCATACTAATGTCTTGGAATAAAGAAATACATAAAGTATTCCTTAGGATAAGGTAGAGATGGAGATGCAGTAATAAAAAGGGATCTGATTTGTCACTTTATTTAAAGAACTCAAAATACTGGTTTGCAATTGTCAAAGACTTTGTACACAGGTTAAATGGCATTCAGTCATGGCTACATAACCTCATAATTCTGTAATAATTGGCACAGGGAATAAATTTAATACTCATAAATTTACAAATGTAAAAATTCTTAATTATTTTTAACATAATTTCTTGTGGGTGAAGAGTTCTGTTAATGGAAGTATCCCCTGCATCTAAGTCATTTACACCATAAAACTAATTGTCTTAAAATATTGTATGACATAAATGCCACTATACATCACCTTAATCTACTAAATTTTGACTTTTCCACATAGCAGAAAAGTTTATCAAAATTCCCATTATCACATTTATACACAAAGGTAATATTTTATTACATTACATTGAAAAACATTTTAGTTTTGAGGCTGTCATTTACCTACTTTTTTTTTTTTTTTCTTTATGCCTATATTGGTAGAAAATTCAACATATATATAATTTAACACAGAGTAATGTTAATTTAAATTTACATTATTAATGCACACACTTACAAATATAATTTGCTCTTTACTCTCCATTTAGTGGATTATTTAAATTGTGGTATCCCTAAACTCCGGGAAAGATCACTAAAGAATGAGTGATGGCAAATGTTTTCTTTTGATCACTACTGTAGTGGGAAATGGCCGACTTGGGAAAAAAATACTCGGAGATTAATCAGAAATGAGTCAAACTTAAAATTGATGTGTAGTACCTCTGAGATATGATACTCTTGAATATGTATTTATTGCTTCACAACTTTTATGTTGTCTCCTTCACTTGATCATGGCTGCTTATATTCCGAGTAATTCTTGTAAAAAAAAAAGTTAAAATTTCTGTAAAATACAATAACACTGTGAATTCTGTATTTTGGTTATGGTACAATATTCTTTTATATTTGTACCTTTTATATAAGAATAACAGTGAAATGAGGGTAGATTCACTAATATTTTCAGATATATTTTATTAGGTATGGAAAGGATTCTGTGCCAGCTTTTTCCGTTCAAAGAAGGGTGTCTTGATGGTGGATAGCTTTTGATCCAAGGAATTGGAGCCCTTTCCCTTCCTTTTATCAAATATAACCTATTCTATAGATGCTGTATAACCCATACAGGTTTAGTGCTTCCCCATTAATGAAATAATCTATGCCAGCTCTACAATAATGATTAACATTATTTACAGTATTATAATGTCAATGAATGTCTTAATATTTAATAACCAGTTTAATGCATTTGACTATTGTATGTATATAACCTGATCAAGTTTTAGCTACAATTTAGTCAACCATCTCCAATCATAGTCTTTTTTACATTACAGTAGGGAGATTATTTATATTAACTAAAATTCAGTAAACCCATGTGGATCATATACGTAGTTTCTTAGCTTTGTACGAGGCATTACTGATGTACTTTAACTGTTTTCTCGATGGTTATATAATCTCCACAAGTCTAGTTTACAAAGATATATGCTACTCTGATACAACTCATAAATTCTTCTCAGAAAATAAATTTATCAAGACTGTCTGATGGTTAGCCTGACCCAGTTTTGAGTCTAATAATCATGTATTTCTTTTATCTACACGAAACAGTTTAATGTCAAATGTGAGCAAAATCCAACAAACAAGTCGTCAAATATTGGTCTTTTTAACGTATCAAATTAAAAACATGTTCTCCAGCGATTACGGAATTTAAATTACACACATGCATACAAAATTTACTTAGATTATTTTAATTATATGTTGTAAAAATGAAAACTTTTGTAAATATTTATTTAAAATATATTTATATAAAAATATGTTAGGTGAACATACTAAAATGACTGTGGAATTCACTATTATACAATTAACAGTAAGTAAAAGATATATTTTGACAACAAAGGCAGTACATATAGAATCTTTAAACACGGCACTACTTGACAACACTTAAATTATTATTATTATAATAAAAAAGAAGCTCTAAGCCACAAGGGCTATACAGAGCTGCTTAAATGCGTAGAGTATATTGTATTTTATAAGTCCTCTCACACTGCAATCAACTATATATTTAACAATATGGAATCTCCTAGTTCTTAAAACACTGGGGAAAATAAAATTGCTATCCAGTATGGAGATTATACTTGCAAGATACACCTAGATTAATCATACCAATGCCTAATTGATCCTTCCAGTATGCCAAACTGTCATAATTAATCATATATAAATATACTATCACACACACACACAGTAGGGCCCCACTTTACGGCGTTCCGCTAATATGGGCATTTCAAATTACGACCGAAACACACTATATGGCTCCCTCCACCTGACATTCTGATATGGTCACTGCGCCCCACACGGTTTGTTTGCATTCTCCCTGAGCACAACTCTCCATTATGTCTGGAAACTTTCCAAAATATCAAAGTGTTTAATGTTATTTCATATTTTATATATACATACTCTGATAATTATACTTGTGTGTACCTGTGCCTAAATAAACTTGCACAGTGTGCTGGTGTGCAGGTACACATTAAAATCACTAAGAGTGTCTTGAAGATGCCATGTTAATAATAAGACAATAATCATTCTGAGGCACATTAAATGTCATATATTACATTAATATAGACATTTTGATTAATCCATCTATTTTTTCAAAATTATATTATAAACATGCTACATAACATACAAATATGGTAAATACACCCACAGTAGAATAAATTGATGAATATGAGATGTTTTTCCAGTCGTCTTATCAAAGTGTCGGAAAGAATAATGTTTTCTCTAGTTCAACACCAAAGAAATGTATACAATAGTATTACCGGGGGTAACTGTAGAAAATTATTCTTTTTGTATGCCTTCACTTAGTGTTATTCCTTCTAAAAATGGTGTTACACAAGAATAGGAGTGTTGCTCTTTATTTATTCTACTTTACCAATGTGGAGACAACTTGCACACAATGTACGGTGTTTGTATTATGACATAAGCTTCACAGACATGGAAATGAACGTGTATCAGCCATAACCAGATACGTTCATCTGTTTTACATAATCTGTGGCTCTGTCCTCTCTCATTTACTTGTTCTCTCTCTCATTTATTTGTTTTATCTCGTTTACTCGCCTCTCACCCTACATTAAGACTACAAATATTTTGAGGTAAGTAATGAGTGTACTGTGTATGTATTTTACTCTTGTTTTTTAATGCCTATTTCTATTGCTGGCATTTGTAAGTGGAAAACAATGGCATTCTGCTTTCTGGTGGTAGCCTGGAACCTACCCTGCCATATAAATGGGGTCCTACTGTGTGTGTGCGTGCGTGTAAAGTCTTCTGTTCCTAAGAGCTGATTCTCAGTCATGGAGAGGACTTTCTTTGGGGTATTAACCTGGGAGGGTTAATAACCGAGGCCCAGGATAACCCAAGAAGGCCAAGCAGTGTGACTTCCAATATTTTCATTAGGGTTCAGATCCCCTTCCTTAAGACACTAACCAACTACTAGGTAGTTGCTGGTAGATAAAAATGGGTAACAGGTGTTAGGAGACTTGCCCATGTGTGTCCTGCCTGGGATGTGAATTCTGATCCTTTCAGTCGTGAACCAAATGCTCTACCACTGAGCTACATATGTACAACATTGAATGAGCATTGTCATCCACACCAAGTATTATTATTACCAGTTGTAAGTTGACCTAGGTCTTATGCCAAGGCATATACTTTGTCACAAAAAATGTTTTTGCACCTTATTTTAGCCCCCCCTCCCCCCTTCTATGAAAGATGTTAAGTCCAAAAAAAAAAAAGGCTTATTTTGAAAGTGAAGACAGTTACTTTTCAGTTTTGTCTAAATACAGTTAAATTAGGTTAGGTTTTTTGTTTAAATATGGCTAGATCAAGTTAGTTTTTTAAACTTATTTGTTTAGACAATCACCATCACTAACAGACAAACCTGATAAATTTATTATGCATTAATCATCCTCAGTACCATCCAAGGAATAAGAAATAGTCCACCTAATGAATGTGTGTCCTTGAACTTGCCTTTTCACTGTTGCAAAATTTACTGTGCAGTACAGCAGCTCTAATTCTCAACTAAATTCACAACACACAATTTAAACAATTCACAGTAACAAAAGACATTACTATATACAGTACTTCCTATATTTAATATGTTTGTTTCTGCTCCTAACCAGCATGGACTATCAAATTTTGTCAGTTACACTTTACAAATGAAAATTTGGGACAAACTAATTATTTTAGACCTAGGAAAGAGAACCACTTGGCCTTTTTGTTTAGTTATCCTGGGTTATTACTCTTTGGATAAAAATCAGAGAAATTTCTTTCTCATCCTAGCCTAGTAATTTTCACAGAACTTGTTGCACTGACATGTACCAACAGCATGTCAGTGCATTATATACAGTTCAGTGGTTGGTACTGAGTTCAGACTTGCTGTTCACTGTTCAATATATCCACATGATGTTGTGTAGCTGGATAAAGACTAAAGCATTTGTAAATTCATATTTAAAATTAAACAAATAAAAATTATATACAATGTTGTCCATGATCACTGACTCTAAACATTAAGTCTAAGTTAATATAATCATACAAAATATTTACTACATGATATACTGTCCAATATAAATAAATAAATTAGTGTAGTGTGAAAAATTGGCTAATGTTCATTGTAAATTCAACCATAAAGAAGTAACCATGTAGGAAGACCTCAAGAGAAATCAAACTATTACTTTGGAAAGAATATAAAAGAATGTAGACTATAGTACATAATGATGTATAAAAATTCTGTAAACTAAAGAGATTCCTGATGCATATGTTAATGTTTAATAATTTGTGGATCAATACAAGCAGTTTAATCTGTACTAGAGGAAATGTTCACCCAGGGGTGCCTTGATACTATTGAAGGGTTCTTGGTCCAAATAGAGCAACCCTTCACTTTTCTCAAATCAAGCTGCATTAAACCCCTTCCTCACTCCTATCATTTTCAAGGTGCTGTATGACTTGTGAGTTTAGCACTTCACTATTAATAAAATATGAATATAATATGCTACTGTAATGACATATTCATAAGGAAAGTTGTGCTGGCTAGAGGATACATCATCACAGTGAAGGTCAGGTCGAGCCCAGCAAGAATCAGTTTTACAGGCAACAGACATAAATCAACTTGGGTACTGATCTATGGCAGAACGAGGTGCTACAGATTCTAGGCGAGTTCAGTCGGTAGACTACATGCATGACACTTCGCACCTGCCTACCAAACATGTTAAAAATAACTTTTTCCCATGAAAATACATTAGTTACAATAGTAGGATGGGTTTAGTGCTTAGTTATTATAATACAATAGTAGTTAACAAGTATATATTTCTAATAAAGAAAGGCTTAGTTATACACAGCATTTCAGACAGTCTCAGCTAGGACTAACACTAACAGTATAAAAAAAAAAATTGGTTATACGTATATTAATGTACACACATAAAAATGTAATACCTTACTGTAATACAAAACTGAGCATTAAATGAAAGACAAAATTTAACTTGAGAGCATTAAAAAGCAAATAATAATGTACATATGCACTTTTTTTTTTTAATTTAGTCATGATGCAATTTGTAACTTGGAAGTAAAAGCATAATGGCAATTTAAGGAGTTACATTAAAAATTGTTTCTGGGGAAATACATTAAGCACACATTTTTTTTAGTTTGTTTCAAATTCACAGTTACAAGTTTGTAATTCAGTTGGTAAACTTTTCCACAACTTTGGCCATTTTATTTGCACTGAGCTTCCAAACAGTTTCAATAAATTCCTGTATAACAAACTTCAGAAATATGGATGCAATCTACTTGGTCAGCCGATTTGGAAACAAACTCTACTGGTTAGAGATTTGTCTTATAATCACAGCAAAACAATCTCATCTACATAAACTACAATCTCCATTGCCTGTCACCCACTCTCCCTCCCATCCCCTGATGAATCTTAAATCATGGGTTTACTGTTCAGGTGAATACAAAAAAAAAAAATCAGTCTTTGTTTTAAGTGTGATGCCTGTGTGTTGTGTTAATTTTCCAGGAAGCGTTTTAGGTCAGCATTAGCATTACAACGAAGTGTTTTGAAGATATGGAGTGAATATAGTATGTAGAATATTAATATTTAGGTTAAGGAATTTAAATAAAGGCAGAATGTGCTGCCTAAAATTTCAATCTGTGATACTTCTAAAAGCTGAAAATATACATATATTCAATGTATATAATGCGGTCTGCTTAACTAGAGTCCAATCAGCATTCACATTTGTGCACTTATTGTCACCACTATATTTCTAACCTCCAATCATTATTATAACTAAAATGATCAATGCAGTTTTGCATTATTCTCTTTCCATATTAACAATGCTGTTTTAATATACCATGCAGAATTTTGCTACTTTAAAAAATAATTACAATTAATAATAAATCATACCACGGGCGGGGCTTGAACTCACGGTTAGCGAGTCGTAAAACTCCAGACTGACACTTGAACCACAAGTTCAAGCCCCGCCTGTGGTATAGATTGTTTGTAATTGTGTCAATACGATTTCATGCATTACAATTAACAATCTTATATTCAGAAAATTACATTAAACTTGACATCAAATAATCTTAACTACTTCTGTGTAATGCCAAGTACAGTAGTTTTAAGTTCTAGTTTCAGTATACTCAAAATGCTCTGCATAAACTATAATTTTTCAAAATATATGAAATAAATGTCAACTAATTTTGTATAAAGTATGTACATTTTTTAAAATAAAATTGACTATTTTGTTACACCACACAACTGCCTAATCCTGTACTCCATGTTCCTAACACTATAAACCTACCTAACAATACAGACCTGCCTGAGACTACCTAGTAGATTTATACTCTATTGTTAAACTACTAATATAAAGAACATAAATAACAAAATTTTTAAATTATGTGTGGTCAGGAACTCTTACCAGTGTGGCAAAGCATTGGTGGTTTATCACTACCCGTTTCTACTGAACTGTTACCTGTTCTGGCATCTGGGTTGGGCAGGAAGGTGAAGTCACAGACAAGAGAAAAATGGTCAGATGGATAAGCCAGATTTGGGGCTCGTCCTGGTCCCAGATCATCTTCTGTTGGAACATCAAGACCCCCTTCTACATGGAGGCTTAGTGGTGTGTAAAAGATATAATCTATGTTATGGCAGCAGTCCTGTTCTCCTCTTACTTTCCAAGTTGAGTAGGGCGGTTCCTTCCCACCGTGTAACAGGGCATATGCTGATGCCAGTCCTGTTCTTTCATCGATCATGGTAGCATATACTGGCTCACTTGGCTCGGCATTAAAATCTCCACATACAATGGTGGGGTGAATCTGACGGTGTTCACTCAAGAATGCCAGGAGGTCCTTGCCTTGCTCATTGCGAAGACTGGATAGCAGTGCCCCCTGACGTGCCTTCAGGTGGGTCGTCAATACCACCAGTTGTTTTCCTGAGGTTCGCTCCTCAAGTATCAATAGTATGGCTACCTGCAACAATGGCATTTAACAGAATTTGTAAATTTACATACAACCGTAAATATACATATCCTTTGAGAACTAAAATACAAAAAAAAAAAAAAAAATTAAAGTTAATCTTCTGGATTTGCTATATGTAGTACAGTATAATGTATATTAATATTTTTTTTACAAGCCGTATACTGTCATTATTTTCATCACATATTCTCTTATCAGTATTTAGTAAAGACTTTACTAGAGTGCATCAGATATTAGCAGTAGTCTGACTAAAGTGTCTGGTCAAGCATGTACATTCCCTTCAAACATAATTATTCAAGAAAATCTCTTACATTAGTGACAAATGAGCAAGCTTTAATATTATACCTGTAGTGTATAGCATATTTAATTATAATAAACAATACATACTTCTGTATGTATTGTTTATTATAATTACCATCTATACATTATTTAACAACCACAAGTCTGTACAAGTTTAGTAAAAGTGGCAAGAATTAAAATATGACAATTTCTGTGTTATTTTAAAGATCCAGGAATATAGATTACAGTAGTATATAAAGCAATAAGGGCTGACAGAATCAGGGAGTCTACCTACACAGTGAAAGAGGGTGGGCACTAAGATGAATGTACCACTCTGCTAGCAATGTCAGACTCTTTTTAATATTAAAACTACAGAAATGCACAAAAAACAAATGAAGAACTAAGTGAGATGTGTGCAACAGAAACAAATGTATATAACTCAATGGACAGAAGATGAAGTTACATGAAATTTAATACTGTTCTTTGGCATGATTTTTACCAGTACTAATACTGCTGTAGTGCAAATTTACCAAAGTCAGATGGTATGGTCAATAATACTTGATTTTAAAGTAGTATAACATATGTTGTACTTTTTAGACAGAACTTATCAATTTGACTTAAAGGATGGATTATTTTATCAAATAAGCCAAGCTTATACAGGAGGCCCCTGCCTTATGCACACCCAAGTTACACGCATCCATATCTGCAAACAAGACACTTGGGAAACAATTCAAGTTTTACAGCCAAATAACAATAGTACAAATGTGTGAAATACACTTTGTCATCCTTTGTACTATTATTTTCTATATAAACTTAGTACAGTACACTGAAATACCAAGAATGCAACTTATTTGTTTTGTTGTTTAAATACATCAGCCATCTTCCAACAAGGTAGGGTAACCCAAAAATAGAAGAAATACTTGCACTATCAATCCTTGTTTTGTCAGAAGCATGCTAAGGTAACAGTTCTGATGGCTCTCTGAAATACAGCATCACCCCTTCCTCAGAATGCAGGCACTTCACTTTTCACCACTAGGACTCAGGTACAGCTAACTAGTTTCCCAGAATCCCGTCATAAGTGTTACCTTCCTCGCACTCCAACAGAACATTAGGCAGTATTAAGCTATGTATGTTGCTAAAGCTTAGTTAGTTTTTATATGCCATATATATTCTAAGGAATATATAAATTAATATTTAACAAACTGCTGCAAGCCAGAACTCGACCCTACGAACCTTATACCGCCTCCAGAGACAGCACAATGTACGCATCGCCTTACCACTTGAGCCAGCGATCCTACAAGAATCATGCATGCAGCTGAGCTACACGTTTTTCTCGTGATCTGAGGACACTCGTGGCAGTGGTATCTCAAGGATTAATTTCAGCCTCCTCCTGTTTGAATATCCACCTCAACAAGCAGTCTATATAGCTATATAGCAATATGTTAAGAATTCTGAACCAATACAATATAGAGACAAACTGGATATCAGATTGGAGGGAGAGAACATGGAAGAAGTGAACGTGTTCAGATATTTGAGAGTGGACGTGTCGGCAAATGGGTACATACATATATGAAGGACGAGGTAAACCACAGAACTGATGAAGAGAAAAAGGTGGGTGGTGCATTGAGGTATCTGTGGAGACGAAGATGTTATCCATGGAGGCAAAAGGAGGAATGTACAAGAGTATAGTGGTACCAACACTTTTATAAGTGTGAAGCATGGGTTGTGAATGTTGCAGTGAGAAGGAGGCTGGAGGCAGTGGATATGATGGGCCTAAAGGCAATGTGTGGTGTAAATATTATGCAGAGAATTTGTAGTGTGGAAATTAGGAGGTGCAGGGTTACTGGAAGTATTATTCAGAGGGTTGAGTAGGGGTTGTTGAGGTGGTTTGGTCATTTAGAGAGGATGGAACAAAATAGGATGGCTCGGAGGGTGTATAAATCTGCAGTGGAGGGAAGGCAGGATAGGGGGTCATCCATGGAAAGGATGGAGGGAGGGGGTAAAAGAGGTTTTATGTGCAAGGGATTTGAACACACATTATTATTGTAATCATAAAGCACAAAACCTGCTTAGATATACAGCAGGCATGGGTGAGCATGTTAGGAGTGAGTGGCGACTAATGGTTTCTGGGACATGACAAGCTGTTGGAGTGTGAGTAGGGTAATATTTTGTGAAGGGATTCAGGAAAAGTGGTTAGCCAGACTTGAGCCCTGAAGGTGGGAAGTACAGTGCCTGCACTCTAAAGGAGGGGGGTTTGGGATATTTGCTATTTAGAGTGACATATAATCTGTCATATCTGCACACCTCTGGCAAGACAGTGATAGTGAGAATGATGGTGAAAGTGTTTCTGTTTTGGGTCACCCTGCCTCAGGATACTGGCAGTTTGGAGGGATATGTTGTGTATCTTTATATGCATATGCTTTTAAGCTGTTGTATTCCGGGCACCTCTGCAAAAACAGTGATTGTGTGAGTGAGATGAAAGTGTTGAATGATGATGAAAGTATTTTCGTTTTGGGGATTTTCTTTCTTTTTGGGTTACCCTGCCATGGTGAGAGACAGCTGACTTTATGTATGTATGTATGTGTATATATATTTATTTTATTATTTTATTATCACACTGGCCGATTCCCACCAAGGCAGGGTGGCCCGAAAAAGAAAAAACTTTCACCATCATTCACTCCATCACTGTCTTGCCAGAAGGGTGCTTTACACTACAGTTTTTAAACTGCAACATTAACACCCCTCCTTCAGAGTGCAGGCACTGTACTTCCCATCTCCAGGACTCAAGTCCGGCCTGCCGGTTTCCCTGAACCCCTTCATAAATGTTACTTTGCTCACACTCCAACAGCACGTCAAGTATTAAAAACCATTTGTCTCCATTCACTCCTATCAAACACGCTCATGCATACCTGCTGGAAGTCCAAGCCCCTCACGCACAAAACCTCCTTTACCCCCTCTCCAACCTTTCCTAGGCCGACCCCTACCCCGCCTTCCTTCCACTACAGACTGATACACCTTGAAGTCATTATGTTTCGCTCCATTCTCTCTACATGTCCGAACCACCTCAACAACCCTTCCTCAGCCCTCTGGACAACAGTTTTGGTAATCCCGCACCTCCTCCTAACTTCCAAACTACGAATTCTCTGCATTATATTCACACCACACATTGCCCTCAGACATGACATCTCCACTGCCTCCAGCCTTCTCCTCGCTGCAACATTCATCACCCATGCTTCACACCCATATAAGAGCGTTGGTAAAACTATACTCTCATACATTCCCCTCTTTGCCTCCAAGGACAAAGATCTTTGTCTCCACAGACTCCTAAGTGCACCACTCACTCTTTTTCCCTCATCAATTCTATGATTCACCTCATCTTTCATAGACCCATCCGCCGACACGTCCACTCCCAAATATCTGAATACATTCACCTCCTCCATACTCTCTCCCTCCAATCTGATATCCAATCTTTCATCACATAATCTTTTTGTTATCCTCATAACCTTACTCTTTCCTGTATTCACCTTTAATTTTCTTCTTTTGCACACCCTACCAAATTCATCCACCAATCTCTGCAATTTCTCTTCAGAATCTCCCAAGAGCACAGTGTCATCAGCAAAGAGCAGCTGTGACAACTCCCACTTTGTGTGTGATACTTTATCTTTTAACTCCACGCCTCTTGCCAAGACCCTCGCATTTACTTCTCTTACAACCCCATCTATAAATATATTAAACAACCACGGTGACATCACACATCCTTGTCTAAGGCCTACTTTTACTGGGAAATAATTTCCCTCTTTCCTACATACTCTAACTTGAGCCTCACTATCCTCGTAAAAACTCTTCACTGCTTTCAGTAACCTACCTCCTACACCATACACCTGCAACATCTGCCACATTGCCCCCCTATCATCCTGTCATATGCCTTTTCCAAATCCATAAATGCCACAAAGACCTCTTTAGCCTTATCTAAATACTGTTCACTTATATGTTTCACTGTAAACACCTGGTCCACACACCCCCTACCTTCCTAAAGCCTCCTTGTTCATCTGCTATCCTATTCTCCGTTCTACTCTTAATTCTTTCAATAATAACTCTACCGTACACTTTACCAGTATACTCAACAGACTTATCCCCCTATAATTTTTGCACTCTCTTTTATCCCCTTTGCCTTTACAAAGGAACTATGCATGCTCTCTGCCAATCCCTAGGTACCTTACCCTCTTCCATACATTTATTAAATAATTGCACCAACCACTCCAAAACTATATCCCACCTGCTTTTAACATTTCTATCTTTATCCCATCAATCCCGGCTGCCTTACCCCCTTTCATTTTACCTACTGCCTCACGAACTTCCCCCACACTCACAACTGGCTCTTCCTCACTCCTACAAGATGTTATTCCTCCTTGCCCTATACACGAAATCACAGCTTCCCTATCTTCATCAACATTTAACAATTCCTCAAAATATTCCCTCCATCGTCCCAATATCTCTAACTCTCCATTTAATAACTCTCCTCTTTTATATATATATATATATATATATATATATATATATATATATATTATATATATATATATATATATATATATATATATATATATATATATATATATTTTTCCAACAAGTCGGTCGTCTCCCACCAAGGCAAGGGTGACCCAAAAAAAAAAGAAAGAAATCCCCAAAAAGAAAATACTTTCATCATCATTCAA